CTGCTAGACCTCGTTTTAAATTCAGGGTGTAAAATTTTAGGTGTCACATCGGGTATCATGTGAGTTGTCGTACGGGGTGTTCGGATACTAATAAAAAAATAAATTACAGAATCCATCAATAATCCGCGAGACGAATTTATTAAGCCAAATTAATCCGTCCTTAGCACATGCGTTACTGTAAGCACCACATTGTTAAATCATGGACTAATTAGGTTTAAAAGATTTGTCTCGCAAATTAGTCGTAAACTGTATAATTAGTTATTTTTTTAGTCTATATTTAATATGTTAGGCATGTGTCCAAACTTTGGATGGATAGAGGTAAACTTGAGACAGGAAATAAACAAGGCCCTAGTCTGATACAGCGGAAACAACAAAAAGAAAGCATCAGGCACAGCACAGGCACCCTCGACCCTCGGGCTCGGTCACTCCCCTTGCCCCCCCTTCTCGATTCCTTTGCTCGCCACAAGTGCCAAGCCCACAGCGACACAGGTGCCTGCGCACCTGACCTGGTGATGGTGGCGACGCCGCAGGTCCGTGGCGTTCGCGTGCGCGTGCGCCTCGCCGCCCCATCGCAGCAGTGCAGATCAGACGGCGCGGGGAGCGAGCGATCTGTGAGTATCTAACTTGCACTCGTCCCATCGCTGGTCACATCATCCAGTGTCACGTACGCTCGCCATCCCAGGGACACGCACGCTCGGGCGGTACGGGTGCGGTTGCGCCGATGCTTTCTTCTTCGGGCAAAGCTCAAAGCTGTCCCTGTGCGTGAGCCTGAGACGGCTGAGCCCTCCCGTGACCGTGACATCCATACTCTAGCCGCCTTTATAGGAGAGTGTGTATGCAGTAGTATATGCTTCGCTTAATTAAGGGGTTTTCGTCTAGAAATTTTGCAATATGGCGTTAAGTACTTAAGTGCAGCATATCAGCAGTGGTATAAAATTCGGCCATATCCAATGCGGCCGCAGTCAGATTAGGCTGATCTGTCGATGAATTCAGCTCGTGCCGCGCCAACTTGAACTTTCACGAGATGACGCGACGTAAGACGGGGGAGACTGTCACGTGTATGATTGATGCCCGGCCCGGGAGTGTCGGCCAAGACCCGCAGCTCACGGCACTGTCAACTTCGACGTGCAATATACTACTATTCCGTGGCGGCCGTGTCGTGTCCCCGCCACGTGCGCACGATGCTGCCAAGCGTAACATACTCCTACCATCATCCTCTCTCAAGCCTTCATTTTTCGACGGGTTAGTGGTGACTCGTATGGCTTTTTTTTGGCAGGGCTCTGGCTCCGGCTCTGATTTTTATGAAGGAGCAGCTTCTCTGGAGGAGCTGAAGCCGTTCTAGAAAATGTTTGGCAAACGGCTCCTTCGCACTGGACAACGTGAATCTACAGCAAGGAGCCGCGCGAAGCTCGTTTTTTAGGCTTTTCCTGCGCAGGCAAAAAATGATTTCGGCTCTTGACCGGCTCTCCATGCGGAGCCCTTTCCAAAACAGGCATTTGGCACAGCTCCTACAGGAGACGGAGCTGAAGCCCCTGCAGGAGCCCTACCAAAGAGGCTCATATACTCACCCTGGCAGTACTGCCCAAGCCCAACCTGGCAGACGCTGAGGAGTGCAGAGCTGGGGAATATTACTTGTTGTTGCAACAGCAAAACATGGCTACTGCAACATAGCTCGTTAGAACCCTAGCCATCGCGGCGTCCCTCAGATCCAGATTCAGATCCAGATCTAGAGGAGTAGTGACGAAGCAAAAAAAAAATTTAGGATGGGCTGAACAAAAGAATAGAGACTTTTTTATCTTCTCTTAACCTTAACCCTTCCTATCTAATACATATATGCATAAAATTTTAAGGGAGGACTTAGGGCGCTCTACGTGCCCAGGATCGGTAGGGGGGCTAGAGCCCCCCAGCCCCACCGCTGCCTCCGTCGCTACAGAGGAGGAAGAGGAGGAGAAGGAGGAGGGCTTAGATCCACCTATCTTGTCGGAAGCTGTCGCCGTCGCCCTCCTCTCCGGTGGCATGGAGGTCGCGGAGGGAGGGAGGGAGGGGCGGCTCGCCGGAAGCCGCCGTCATCGCCCTCCTCTCTGGTGACATGGAGGTCGCGGAGGGAGGGAGGGACGACGGCGTGCGAGCGCTGCGTGCCAGGAGCGGGAGAGTGGAGGAGTGGGCGAGCAGAGCGAGGCGCGGTCGGTCGAGCAGAGTGGATGAGCGGGAGGAAGACGCGGACTAGCAGAGCGAGACACGGTCGAATAAAGCGAGGCGCGGCGTCGTGCGAGGTCCGTTAGGACGGTATGGACGCCCGGACAATAGCAATATAGTTTTCTTTGCTCTGCCGGTGCGGTGCCGGTAGCCCGGTACACTTTGTACAGTAGTCAGTACCCATGCTGATCCTTCAAGGTCCAGGCGTCCAGCACAGCAATCCGTAGAGTGGTGGCACCAGCGCATGTGCATTGCTACGTCTCCTGTTGCCGTGGATTAGAACTGTCCAGCACTGCTGCAGGGGCCTCCTCCGAAGATTCTCCAGCTTCATAAGGGCGCGTTTGGCCGGGCTTCCGCTCAGCTCTGGCTCCCACACTGTAGCCCAATCTGTAGCGCGCAGGAGCTGGAGCCGGAGGAGAAAAAAAACGGGTTTCTCTGTCTCCGGCGCTGTCAGCGAGAGAGGAAAGGAGGAGAGAGAAAAACAGCTCCGGTAAACAATGTCGCTACAGGAGATGAACAGGAAAGAAGCCAGAGGAGCCAGAGCCGTCGGAGCCTGGCCAAACGGCTTTAAAACTGCGCACGTGTCTCGTACCAGGACACGACTCAGCACTAATTGAAGAAGGCGGCCCGCGAGGCGAGTCGCAGCGTCACCTGCGCTGCATCGACACGACACGGGCAGGGCGCCGGCCGCGGGCGCATCCTTCCGGCGGTGGGTCATTTCCCCCCTCGCTCACCCCACCGCCATCACGCGGTGCGGTTGCGGCCCTGCTCTACCTGCCGATGCATGCGTCTCTCCCTGCGTGTGGACCCCCTCTCCTTCCCTTCCCTCTCTTCTAGAGCCACGCACCGCTAGAGAACAAGCGCGGGCTGCTCGCAAGTCGCAAGACGACCCGGACGCTCAGCCGACGACGCGCGCACACCGCACAGTAGAGTACCAGGCAAGGGACGAACGGTCCGTTCCGGTGGGTGCCCACCACCGACCGAATGGAGACCCCAACGGACTGTAGGATGGGCCCCACATGTCCTACCCTGCAACAGGTGGGGCCAGCACCGTAGTTTAATCAGCATGTTCGCTCGTCAGTTTTAGCCATGACTTATCAGTCAGACAACAATATTTTTCTCTCACAACAAATAAGCACCAATCGAACTTATCGACCAAGATCCCACAAGTGAACAGGCTGAATAAGTACGTACGTATCCTCTTGCCGACATATGGGACCAAGCGGGGAGTCTGCGACTGCGAGCGGCTTTGAGGGGCACAGGCGCACGCTGCACAGCACGGCGGCGGCATCCCAAGCAGAGCGCACATGGCACATCACACCCACACCATTGGGCGACGCCGCGGATGTCATGTCACACTGGGGGCTGGGGCGCATGGTCATGGACCGGGTGCACCAGGGGTTTTGCCCGACCCACACCCACACGTGTGACTTGTGAGCAACGGCCCCCCCGGCGATGCCGTCGGGTGGTCCTGCCCCGCCGGCGTACTGTAGACGCTCCCCATGCAGATGTCTGTGGAAGGCAAAACCATTTTTGGGCTCTTCTGGTTCTGGGTTCTGGTCGCCTTTTGCACATTGGACCCTTTGAATTAAAAAAGTTCACGTGCCTTGGGGACCGGTGACTTGGAGATTGTGCGCTAGGTTTCTCTTTTGTCCAACTGTTGGGACTTGGGAGTTGGGAGTGCTGCGTTGTCTACGGATGTGTGTTTTGGTTTTTTGCGGTTTTGGGCCGTGGAGTGCCTCTAAACAACGGTACACAACTCCATGATTAGATTTGGAAATAATGGATGATATTAGTGAATGACCTTTTTTTGATATCAAGTACTCAAGTAGTACAAATAATGCTTCAAAATTTATATCAGCAGTGCAATGCTAGTAACGTTTAAAGAATCATTTTCGTGGCAGAGAATAAAAAAAATAGTCACGTTGGGAGAACAATTGAGTTAGAGTAGTTCAGCAGGTTAAAGCGCTTTAGATGTATATTTGTTATTTTTATCTTAAAAAGGCATTTCTTGTACTCATTGCTTTTGCCACGAATCAAGAAGAAGCATTGATAATAGCACGATGTAATAACTAAATATGTAGGATCTTGCATAATTAAAGTATTATTCATTGTTTGGTCTTTGGGCGGTAATCTTGAAAATCACTAGCTACAATAGTAATGTACTATTTCTGCAATCACCTTGGGGAATCATTAGCATCAATGGTTTGAAATAAATATTGCAATTTAATTAAATGTATCTAAACAAATCGTTGGGCGGAAATGATGATGGCAGGCAACCTCAATGATCCACCTTAAAGAGAAGAGGGGACGTGTCATCAAAAATAAAGAGACGAGGAAAAAAGTGCAGCACACTAAATTGCAAATTTAAAACTACCCAGGTACCTAGACGCAAAGCAAGAACCAAACAAAAACTATTAAAAATTAATTAAGTAGAGATAGTACTGTAGATAGAGACTTGGAGTGACAGATTGGAGATAGAGAGAGAAAGGGAGAAGAAACTGAAAGATTACAAAACCCCACATAAGAGATTTTAGAGAGAGAGAAACACGCCACCAGAGTGGAGAGAGAGACAAGAAACAGGCAGACGAAACAAACGGGGGCCTATTTCCCCGTCGTCGTCGTCCTCGGTCCTCCAGTCCTCCTCCCTAGTCTCCCTCCCACTCAAAATCGAGTTCCCGTTTAGCTCTCCGAGTCCACCTCCCTCTCCCCCCTCCGTCCCAAGTCCTCCCCGCTCGTGCGCGGCGGATGCGAGCGATTTGCTTCGTCGCCGCATCCGGTCGGGCTCAGGAACGGAGGTGAGCATGGCGAGCATTGCGCGCGGCAGATCGCGACGGAGACAGGGCGACGGGTCGTCGGACCGGAATGCGGCACACTCCACCGTTCCTAACCCCGATCACCAAGGTCTGTGCGTGCCTGCTTTCTTGTTACAGATTCCTATGGTGCTCCTTGGATTCTTTTTTTGCAATTTCGGGTGTATTTCCGCCCAAGATTTTTTTTTTGGGGGAAAGTAAGGAGTCCATGTGATGAAGATCTCACCTTTGATCTTGGATGGTGATGGTTGTTGCGACTATTTCCCCTCTTGCTTTGCCCTTAGGAGATCAGGACATTTTTCCTTTTCTCTCCCTTCGTAGGCTCGTAGCTCTGGTACTGCTAACGGGAACCTGGGATTGCTTGCACATTCGTCATAATCCAGTTTTAGGTTCTGCTTTGCTATTTTGAATTAAAATCCCGTCCCTTTACCTTCATCTCCACTTCACTTCATAGGGATGGAGTTTGGTGTTGGGAAGGACGTCTTTTTCGGGTTTGTGCACAGTAGCTAATACTATGATTTTTTAGGATAAAGTCTGGCATAAATACACTTAGTCCTTGACATAGCTAAGTGAAAGGGCATGTTATTAATCTTTTATAACCCCCTGTTTTCGGCTGCGGGGACATAGCTTTCTTGTGGACTTTAGGTCTTAGTCATGCCTTTATTGGAGAGAGAAAGATTCTTGCTTCCAATTTCAAACCATTTTGGCGGACGGTTCTTTTCCTTTTTCTTATAGTTTCTTTCATTTGAAGCTGCAGTGGCCTAGATTCTGCACGAGTTCTAGGCCAATTTTAAAACCAAGGATGAAAAGGATGTAATCTCCCATCCTGTTTTGCCGAATTGGTATACAGTTGTACAGCATGCTATGCTTTGAATTGTTGAAGTACTGTAGAGTGTTGGATTTATAGTCTTAGAGTTGTCCACTTGTCAATTCCCACAGGATCACGCAAAGAAACCTCACTTGCCCGTAATTTGCTGGATATGTAAGTTAAAGTATTAAATTATTCTATTCTGCGTCCTCTTGTCTGTTGGATGCCGTGAAGGTTCATCGCCAAGTGGCTTTTATATGCTAATCACTAAGCAAATAGGAGTATTTGTTAAACCTGGATTGGTCATTTAGTTATTTGGTTTCTGGGCTGATAAGCCCGGCTGGTGCTGGTTTGTTGTTGGAGGAAAACACTGTACCATGGCTGATAAGCTCTAGCTGAAACCAACAAATGAACAGGCTGATAGAAGATAAATACGCCTCCTTTAAGCACTAGGGTCCAGGGGTGAAACTTGCTATGGATTCGTACTGCTTGTTCTGTGAAGGAAGGTACTTGGGGTGGTAGAAATTCAGTCTACCACCATGTGGAATTGAAGCAAATACTGTGCATTCTTCATGGTTCATGTTTGTTGTGTGGTCCTACAAAGCTTGTCCATGTCTAGCTGGTTTGTTGCATATCCTTTATAGAGGTTCCATGCGATGAAAGGCTATGTAGCTATGTAGTGTTAGCAGCAGGTAACATGGCAAGGGAGCCCCCCCCAACCCTGACATCCCTAAACAGTTCAAATGGAATTGTTTTTTGTATTTACTTGCTTAGTCAAGTCAGCGTTGGATAATGTATTTCTTAATTGAGTTTATCACCTAGTTTTTGCAAAAGTTTCACCAATATTCTGTGGGTGTTCGTGTTCCAGAAAGTTACTGTTTCTGGACAAGCTGGTGATTGCTGATGTTTCAATTCTAATTTGCTGAAATGAACTTGTTCAAGCTTGTTAATAAATGGCAACATGTGAACTCGCTGAACAGCCACTTTGATGTTTATAGAAGCTTATGCTTCTTTAAGTGCCCTTCTCTCAGGTTTGACAGTTGGATAATAATTCTTTAGTAAATTTTGAGTTATATAATTCCTTATGAATATTTCCTGACCGAACCCAGCAACAGATATCTTCATATCATTTTACTTCTATAGGTGGAGTAGGAACAAATGGATTGCATTTGAAACCTCCCTTCCTGATCTTATCTTACAATCCAGTTCAGCATGACATGCCTTCGGCCTGACACTTTGTAATGTTGCTACTGTTGCCATTGTGGTTTTAGACCTGCGGAGATTGATTTCCATTTCTTTTCTCTTGAATTCAGGGGTTGTGTCCTCTAGGAAACAAGCAACTTACCCTGGGATGCTATCTGATTCTGTGGTGAGTAATCTGGATTTAGTTGAAGATTTATACATATGGATATGATTCACACGTTTGGAACTAAAGAGCTTAAGACTTATTAAAACTATGCCATCAAACTGACAGCATAAAGCTGAAATGCATATGCTATTGATCTAGACATGTTTTAAATTGTATGCTTTATTGTATCAAGCGAACTTTGCTGATGGTTATTTGTGGGAATAACTTCATTTCATTTGCATCTTCATCTATTAAACTTTTATTCATTATTCATTCAACTTACTGTGCCATTTTAAGAGCTAACTAATGAGTTGCTATTGCCTCTCCCTTTTTTTTCCTTCTCAGTTTGCTGATGTAAACAGGCAAAGTAAATCAAGAAAAGCCAGTGCTGTACCAATGAAAATACTGATAGACGAAGAATTTTCAAATGATGTCAATGCTAGGCACATTTCACCAGGTGCTGTAGGAAGGCTCATGGGTCTTGATTCGTTGCCCTCATCTGGAATCCATAATCAGCATAGGCATAACCAAAGTCATGCACCAAAGACTTCACCTGGTAGTTCTCATGCTCGAAATGGTTTACATGAAGACATTCCACACAGGAGTAGTGCAGATACCATTGATGTTTTTGAAGTTATGGAGGCCGCAAAAACAAAGATGCACCGGAGTCCAAGATCTAAAATTGGAAATACAACTTCCAGATCTGACAAGGTTGACAGTGCTGATATAGATTTCATAAGGCAGAAATTTATGGATGCTAAGCGTCTTTCTACTGATGAATCCCTTCAAATGTCAGAAGAATTTAACGAGACACTTGATGCACTGGTATCTAACAGGGATCTTTTGTTGGAATTTCTTCAAAAAATTGATCCTGCTGTCAGAAGGGACCTGCACAATCATGGTTCCCCATCCTCTGCCGCAAACTGCATCACGATATTGAAGCCATCTCGAAGAAATCATTTTATTGACATGGACAATATTTATCCACAAGAGAAAGGTGCCGAGAGCATCTTCAACGAGCAAAAGGAAGTGAAACATTCTTTGAGGAAGCCATATTCTAATGTGCCCTTGCAATCCCAAAAAGAAGATTCTTGTTCAATAAGGCAGAAACTGTCAAGGCCCAGTCATCAGGAAAATACTGGAAAACGAGGCTGCCCCACTCGGATTGTTGTCTTGAAGCCAAATTTTGAGAAACCTCATGATATTGAAGAAACCCTTCCTCTACATCATAAAATCCCCCATTCTGATTATAGAAGCCACAAAGAATGTCCGGAGGTTGGTAGATGGACTCCGTATACTGAAGATTACTTGTGTCAGGTGCCCCTTGAAGATTCTGTAAGTCGTATGGGGAAGGGATCTAGAGAAATTGCTACGGAGATCACCAAACAAATGAGAGCTGCTAGGGGTGGGAGTAGGAAACATGCTGTCAAACCGGAGATCAGAACTCCTGCTTCAGATGAAAGGTCACAGTTCCTGCCATCTGTTACTAAACTCAAGACTCCCGAGGCAATTCATAGATATTCTGAGCCATGTGATGCTTGGGCTTCTTCCAGCCTAAACTCTTCGCCAACATATTCGACTGAAACATCAGTAAGCAAGGAAGCAAAGAAACACCTCTCTAACAGATGGAAGAAGACCCATCAGTGTCAGCATCAAGAAACTGATATTGACAGCTTCAGCACGCTTGGGGACATGCTTGCTCTCTCTGATCAGAATGCATCAAAGGTTGCTACCCATAAAATGACATCCAGGAAATGTCCAAAGGCAGGAGTGCAGAGTGATAGAATGCAAAGCTCATGCATCTATCCTCTTGGCATCAGCAGCAATGATGGTTGGAGAGACACAGCTACTAGTAAATTGACAAGGTCCAAGTCTCTTCCATCATCCTTCATCCGTGGAGTTCAAAAGTCAAACAATAGAAAAAGAACTGGTAGTGTCACGTACAATGAGTTCTCGATGCTTAAAGATGTTCTTAAGGTTGGACCCCACTATTCTGAACATGCATGTCGTAGCAGGCAAAGACAATCTCTAAGTAGAGATTCTACAATTCATGGTGATGAATCTGATCTGATGTCCACAGATAATGAGGAAAAAATGGCAGTTGAACGTGAGATACATGTAAATTACGAGGAACCAATTAATGGTACTGCTGTGACAGAAACATCTGGGCAGTCACAACATCCTGCAAATCTTGACCATGAACTAGATGCAGTAGGTATACTGGATACCAGTTCTGCAATCCCTGTCAGTAACAAAAGACCTCTTTCTCCTGCTGGACAGAACCAGCAAATGCTTAAGATGACCACAACAGCACTAGATAACTGCCTTCTTGTGCCTAGTCTTGATGATCTGATGGCTAAGGTACTAACGTGCTTATCACATTATTCTTTCCTATTGTTCCCTTTAGCAAGTCTTCAATTATGTGGGCACTTTCTTTTTAGCAAACAGTTTGAATTTCCTCTGGTTTGTTTTGTATTAAGGTTCCAAGGTACTTTCATTCTTTTTTCTTTTAGTTCGCACTTACTGTGTGTTCTGCTGGAATCATGAAATGTTCACAAAGCCGTTTGTCACAACCACTGATTTCTCAGTTTAAACATGTGCGTACTTACCATATATTGCCTTTGCTGTAATTTGGGGGTGGGGGTGGGTTGCTTGATCTTTCCATGTCATGCTTATTAACTGCCAACTATTTTCAATCCAGCATGAGCAAATTGAATACCATGAAGCTGATGATTACCCAGCCACTTATGATCCCCAGATAGGATCAGATTCTCCTAAGGAGATTAATCATCACCTGGGGGATGACAATCAAACCCTCTGTATTCCACCTAATGAATCAGAATCGCCAGCAAACTCCAATAAAGATGACCAGCAAAGTCCAGTGTCTGTTCTTGAATCTTCCATGGACGCAGAAGATGTTTACTCAGGAGATTTTGAGAAAATTAGTGCAGATCTCCAAGGCAAGTGATTGAATTCTTTTTTACAGATTTCTCTTCCACTCTTCCTTATTCTTAGTTCTTAAGTTTGATTTGTTGTAAACATTGCAGAGCTCAGATTGCAACTTCGGCTTCTGAAGAGGGAGACTACAGACAATGGAGATGACAACGAGCTTTTTATATTGAGTGATGATGAGACAGCACGTCAATCACTTCCTGAAATGGAGGAATCCCATTCATTTTAGGAATATGGAAGAAAGGGATTTCTCCTATGTGTTTGATATGCTTGTTGCTTTGGGCATTCATGCGCCCAACGAGGAAGAGCTGCTTGACAACTGCTACTTACTGGAGTTTCCTGCAGGCCTTGATTTATTTGATGATCTTGAAAAGAAGTATAGCAGCCTCATTTTATGGCCACGACATGAGAGGAAGCTCTTGTTCGATATCACAAATGTTGTTCTTGGGGATATGATTACCTCCGTAATGAACAGTTGGTCAAAGGGATTGATGATGAGGTGCTCACCTGGATGGAATCAGGAAGAGTTTGCTGAGCTTGTGTGGCAAAGGGTGGTGCAGGTACAGCAAGAAATAGAGTTTAATCAGGAAGCCCTACCCTTGAGTGTAGAGTGGGTTGGCTCTGAAGATGGCAACAATCTGGTTGGGTGCGATATCGGGAGTATGTTGCAAGATGATCTCCTAGAGGAAATTGTAGCTGACTTTCTGGGTGTGACTAAATCCGCCAAGCTCCGTGGCTAGAATTGCCAATGTTTGCATCCGAAGCCATTAGAAGCATATGCATGTATTGGTCGCTGGTGAAGTCTAGTGGAAGATGAGCCCTCGATGAGTTGCTTAGGAGGGGGCGATAATCCCTGGAGTTCACCTCATGGCTACTGAAGGGCATGGGCTAAGATGGCGTAGGTGATGGTGGAACATCAAACAAGTGGGGTGGAAGTTTGACCTGGTTGTGTCATGCTCATGTACATGTCACCTTTGACTCCGAACTCAATAACGTAGTACCGGAGGGTTTCCTCTGAACTCCGAAAAGCGTTTTTATTTTTTTTATTAGGTTCGCATAATGTTGGAATATAGATGTACAATTTTGGTTTTAAGGAATCGTGTAAAATAATATCTTGGGGAATTAGTATGTTTATTATTACATGCAATAATGGTAGTGTTAGTTCAGACATTATTATCTGTCAGTTTATTTCTTGTGATGGTGTGCTGTGCACTACGTATCCTTTTGCTGTCATGCTCTTTGTAATAAGGAGCTACGCCATAAACGTCGAGCAAGAGATCACGCCTCTTGAATAGATGCATGGCTGCGTTGTGATTGCCGTCTCTTAGATGAACCTCTGCCAGACCAATAAGCTGTTGAGTGCTGAGCATGCTACTAGCAAAGTAGCAATAGCTCCTGGAAACCGTGGGCCGAAGGGGCACCATGGATGCACCTGCGCGGGCGGGCGAACCACTCCTGCAAATCAGCACCTGCCCGTTCGTCCCGGTCGTCTATGCGCTGGGATATGTGGCGCCAAGCCTCTGCTGTTGTCCCTCCCAAGTCCCAACCGCACCTCTTCTTTTCAGAGGTTTAGGTTCCTGGGCGTCCTCGCACAACTAACGCACAACACCGCCATCAAACTACTCCACTCTTCCCACGGCTATGCTCTCGGCCTACCTGCACCTGCACGACCGGCGACTCCTATATAATTCTGGCATATCGCAGCAACATGCACAGCAACAGCAAGTACAAGCGATCGATCTACTGAGACTGGACAATAGCTAGTTGGATACACGCCACAGTCCTCGCTCTTCTCCAGTGGACGTTCAAGCCTGCGTGGCTTGCGAAACATGGCCAAGAACGCGGTGCAAACCGTCAGGGCGGCGCTGTGCCTGGTGCTCGCGCTCGCTGTGGCGAACTGCGCATTGGCTGGTCGCGTCCTCGACGAGCAGGCTGCGGCTCCGCTGCTGGCTGACCCGCTGCCCTCCCCGACGGATCCCCCAACAGACCCAGTGGTTGCGCCAGCGGCCGGCCCAGCCGCAGCCTCCGGCGCTGCGGGAGCAGCGAGTGCTGGTGCCGCCGCGACGGGCAACGCAGGAGCCGCCGGCGCGGGCGTGGGCGACCACCCGCTGACGTTCTTCATGCACGACATCCTCGGCGGCTCGCAGCCGTCGGGGCGCATCGTGACCGGCGTGGTGGCGAGCGCGGCGGCCAACGGGCAGCTCCCGTTCGCGCGCCCCAACACCAACATCTTCCCGATCCAGGGCGCGATGCCGCTGCCGCAGGGCGCCAGCAACCTCATCAACAGCAACAACGTGCCCTACGTCGCGGGCCTCGGCGGCACGTCCTCCGCCGTCGTCCAGAACAACGGCAACCCCGGCAACGGCGGCAACAAGAACATCCCCTTCGTCAACGCCGGGGACCTGCCGTCGGGCGTCACGCTCCAGAACCTCCTCTTCGGCACCACCACCGTCATCGACGACGAGCTCACCGAGGGACACGAGCTCGGCGCGGGGGTCATCGGCAGGGCGCAGGGCTTCTACGTCGCCAGCTCGCAGGACGGCACCAGCAAGACCATTGTGCTCACCGCCATGTTCGAGGGCCCCGAGGCACCGCATGGCGGCGACACGCTCAGCTTCTTCGGGGTCCACCGCATGGCCGCGCCGGAGTCCCACATCGCCATCATCGGAGGCACCGGCAAGTACGAGCACGCCAAGGGCTTCGCTGCCATCCAGACGCTGCACCCTGGCGACGAGCACACCACCGACGGCGTCGAGACTCTACTCCAGTTCAACGTTCACCTCATTTAATAAGCCGCTCCATTACCATTAGATCGACAATTACCGGTTCTTGTCCTTCCAGCAGTTTCGTGCAATGTTTGTGATTCCAAGTATTGTGCCAGCTTTCGGCCATGTATGTAATGAACTAATAGGTGCTATGATCGCATCAGCATATTGTGAGATTGTACGAGTAAATCAAGGATGTTTTCTGCTATTCTGAGATGGCTACTCCTAAAAGAAATGGCATGATAATATGACATCATCCTACGTAAAATGGAGCTGGATGGGTTTCAAGAACAACATTAGGAAGAGGGACATGTAGACCTCTCACTGTTCGCTGAAAGGCTACCATGTAATTCTATGGCGAACTTTATGTATCGAAGAAACCGTAACCAAAGAACAGATGTCCTGTCACAAAAAATAACTCGCCCTGGAGGAAGAAACTTTTGGCAATTAGTCCTTCATCTGAGCTCTGTCAAGGGCTTCAAGGCACCAAAAAGAGCTCTGTCAGTATGATACAGTATGCTGAGACTCGTAGCTTGTGCTCCTCAATTCTCATCCATGATGCGCTTCTGGAAGTCCGAGACCATACGCGGCAGGCCTTGTTTTAGTGAAACTTTGGGCTCCCAATTGAGAAGAGATTTGGCCTTAGAAATGTCAGGTTTTCTCATATGTGGATCATCTGCAGTGTTGGGTTTGAACTCGACAGATGCACCTGGGTCGATCGTTTCTTTTACCACCTGCAGCAAAAAAAAATACAGTATCATTATTCCTGGTTGGGATATTGGAGACAGGAAGCCGTGGTATTCTGAAAGAAGAATGGATAGCAAATTTCAGTGTCAAGGTCAGACCTGTGCAAGCTCCAGCATTGTAAATTCTCCCGGATTCCCCAAGTTGAAAGGTCCAATATGTTCGCTTTCCATTAGAGTTACCAACCCATCAACCTATAAATTTATAGATATGTAAATCCTTCAGATCTGAATGTGGCAAACGTGAACTTTCTGCAGCAAACAAAATTTAAAATAGAAACTGATTTATGAAGAACAAAGGTCGAGGAAAATAAAGAACACTTGCATGCATTATCTGAATATAATTTTGTATAAAATAAACAATTGAAACTTCTGCATATAGAAAGAGAGGCAGAAACCATGCATAAGTACCAGATCTGAAACATATTGAAAACTTCGAGTCTGTTTTCCATCACCATAAACTGTCATTGGTTGTTTCTGCAAAGCCTAGAAATGAAGCAATGCCAACTTTAAGCAGTGCTGAAGTTCTATGATAATCCTCTCCTCCAATGCATCAGAATCACAAACTGGGACAAACCTGTGTAACAAAGTTGCTAACAACTCGGCCATCATCTAAACACATACGAGGGCCATATGTGTTAAATATGCGTGCAATTCTCACCTGAGGGAAGCAGTCTTATGTCAAAGTTTGCTCTTCAAGAAGAGAATACAGATAAAGCACACATACAACTCATAAGCAGAATTGCAGGATATAAACAAAGTCTGTACTGAGATCTTTACAAAATGAAAACTAGCCATCAAATATTCAAAATTCAAATAACCAAGGGTTCTGATTAATTAGCAGTTTAGTGAAATGCAATACCACTTCCTGACTTCCCTCCATCTATAACCACTGTGTAAATACTATACTATTTTGAGTATCCACCCTAGAGAAGAATTCTTTCTTTGTCTCTCAAACATGAAAGACATCTTTCTCAAACTTAACAATGCCACATACCATAAAGATATTACTTTTTTGACAAAGCCATGTCCTAGTATATTTAATCATAATTATTAAAAAGATGAAATGTATGCATCACTCGTGCTCAATATTTGACATTTGGAGCATGCTAAGCACTAGAATAACACATATGAATACCACCTCAAAGTTGATTATTACATCTAGTTCAATTGCAGAACTTACTAAGTACTGACATGTAAATAGTTGTAGAGCTTATTAAATACTGGCATGTAATAATTTCTAAAGGTCACATTGCCAACAAGATAACCTTTGCTAGACTTGGATCCATAATCAGAAACTGAGGCTTTACCTCAACACCAGCACCACGGTGGTAATCCATGGTAAGAGTTTCAGCTGTTCTCTTCCCCTCATCATAACAGCTCCTAACACCTGCACAATTATAACATATCGACTAGCAAGGTATATCACAATGCATTGGACTGGAGAGACTCAAATGGGTCATAATCCTAAACTATGACAAAATCAGCAAACCTATGGGATTGACATGGCCCCAGTAGCTCTCCTTCTGTGGATGCTCAAGAGGATCACCATACACCTCACTGGTACTAGTCAACAAGAACCGGGCCCCGACCCTCTTTGCCAATCCAAGCATGTTCAAGGTCCCCACGACATTTGTCTTGTACATAGTTGGTTAAGGAAACAATTTGAGAAAAATCAGACAAAATAAACAGATGTAAATACAGGCTCTTCCCCACGCAGGCACAAAAGTACAAATCCACCCCCACGCCCACCTTCAACTCATGTGAAATGTGCATCATAGAATAGAACTGACATTGAAGAAGTCGTATCCGTGTCCATAAATAAATCAATAATAAAGACAAATATATTGAATCCAATTCCTGTGAGGGTGTGGACGAATTATGCGCGGCACAAGGGAGCGGAAAGGATATGATGGTCTTGATGGGGTTGAATTTGTAGTGCACGGGGGACGCGGGGCAGGCGAGGTGGTAGATCTGGTCGACCTCTAGCAGAATGGGTTCGACGACGTCGTGGCGGATGAGCTCGAATCGCGGGTTGCCGAGGTGGTGCGCGACGTTGTCTTTGCGGCCCGTGAAGAAGTTGTCGACGACGATGACGCTGTCCCCGCGGGCGAGGAGCTTGTCGACGAGGTGGCTGCCAACAAACCCTGCGCCGCCGGTGACGACGACGCGCAGGGAGGGCTTCCGGACGCCGACGGGGAGGCGGCGCGCGGCGGAGGAGGCGCCGCCGCCGCGGGGGATTTTCCTGGCGACGGCGGCGGCAGCGAAATTGATAGGAGGAGGCGGCGGAATGCGGGTTGACGGACGACGGGTGGAGGAAAAAGAAGGAGGAGGCTAGGAGGAAGCCGAGGAGGACGAAGAGGAGGCGCTGCTCGCGGAGGAGGTAGGAAGCGAGGGTGCGGGAGAGGGAGGCGCGGTGGTGGTGCGGGCGGTGCTGCTTGCTCATGCTGGCCTGCCGGTGCAGCTGCTTCATGGCGGGGTGGGCGCGCCCTCTCGCCGCCGGAGGGGGAGAAGAGTGGTGGCGGAGTGAGGGGGAGAGGGAGGCGCGTGGAGGTTGGGCCCCGCAGCTGCCGAATCGAACGGGATGCGATTCTTCCTGCCGCTCTGGCTTGTCCCCCGCAGATGCCGCACGTGCGTGTGGAATCGTTCTCTCTTCTTTGCTTCCGGCCGAATGTCAGGTTGTATTGATTTATATAGTTTTGGACAAAAGTTGTATCACTCAGCGACCGCATAGCGCAGTGGATTAGCGCGTCTGACTTCGGATCAGAAGGTCGTGGGTTCGACTCCCACTGTGGTCGACTATGTTTTTTTTTTCTTTTCTGTTTTTTCCCCTTTTCTGTTATATATACTCCTAACACTGTACGGCAGAAAGCGAACGTGTCAACACTTATTTTGTTTTGCAATAGCTTTGCTTGGAAGCAGAAGATAAGAAGTTCAACGATCAATCACGTCGTTTGGTACGCTTGTTAAAGTCTTACTACTGCAGGACGATGACAACAGATGAACTGAAAGGTGAAAGGCAAGTGGTCTTGTTAGAACAGCACGCTGATCGATCGCCTTACTGTTCCTGTATCACCATCAGCGATGTTGTAAGATCGAAGATAAAACTGAAATTCGGATATCAGCTGTTGATGATGGTAGTAACAAAAGAGAGCAGGTCCGTTAGCTTGAGAAGATGAGATATAGGTATAGGTATGGATTAGTTAGTCATGTCTACCAATAGCGAAAGGCTCAATTTTTTAGAGTTCATAGACATAGGACGTGCTTGTGTGCATTTACATGCTGAGTACCATGATTCATAAAGAAAATAATTTGTCGTCCTTGATCTCTAAAGTACCTTTGACATTTTTCATAGTAGAGAATAGAGATGCCGCCTACCCCTTAAATATGCATGTATCTTATGAAAGCAAACCTAATTAATATAGATACTCACTCCGTTTCAAATTATAATTCGTTTGACTTTTTTGACCCCAAGTTTAACCACGTCTTATTCAAAAATTTTGTGTAAACATAGTCAAATTTAAGTCATTCTTGTAGAATTTTTGTTAATAAAGCAAGCCACAGCAAAAGAAGTAATATTTTACACAAATTCTTGAATAAGGCGAGTGATCAAACTTGAGGTCAAAAAAGTAAAATAAATTATAATTTGAAACGAATTTAGTATATCTTTGTGGAAAGTAATTACGCCAACGTTCACTAGCACACAATCGTGATGGATATCTCTTCATATAAATTGTCTGCGTCAACAAGCCACATTGTTCGTCCACATTATACGATAACATTCATTTACAGTAATCTATCATCCCATTATATCAGCTAATAATTATACGTTGTTCAATTTCCATTGCAAAGCATCAGTGATCCGTGCAGCAAGAGGTGGGGCATTGTCCTAGTGTATGAGATGAGAAAGAGCTCACAAAATTATTTCCCATGAGGAAGTTATGGTCCAAGGAATACCCTATGAAATGTAGTATTAGTTAACTGGAGAAGGCCCAAATCCTTTGCTTTAACAGGGCCTTTGGTTGGAGTTGGAGGGCCCAAAACGTCAGAAACCATCGCTGCCGACCGGTCGGCGACGCTCCACCGTCTGCTTAATTATTTCGGCCCAGTTGTTTCCTATTTTTCTTCTCTTTCTTTTTCTTTCCTTTCTACTATTTCTTTCTTTCCTTTCTACTATTCTTTTTTATTTTTTCTTTCTTTTCATCTTTTATTCATTTTTTTATTTTTCTTTTCTTTTCCTCTATTTCTATTTTCTTTCCTTTTTTAGTTTTTTTTTTCGTGGTCTTTTATTATTCTTTTTTGTTTCTTTTTCTATTTTCGTATTTTATTCTTTTTTTATTTTCATTTCTTTTCTTCTATTTATATTTATGTTTCACTTTTTTATTTACAGATACACGTGATGTTCGTGCGGTATACATATAATGTTTTATGATGTATTTTTTACGATGTTTTCCTAAGCAGTGCGGTCTTTTTGTTTCCTTTTTACGGTGTTTAAACGAAATTAAATGGTCTAAACGGTTTTATACTTTAAAAAATACATATAATTATATTGCATGTAAAAAATTTATTCTAGCATTTATACATATTTATCGAGTAAAAATCAATTATTTTGGTATGTATATATTTATGCATGTGAAAAGAACCAAATATAGATATTTATGCATGTAACATATCAAGTGTACACATTTATAAATATAATAAACTTAAGTATACAAATTTATCTATACAAAACTGAACTAGATTTACCTCGTGTTCGTCTAAACAGCCATTTAAACAGCTGTTTAGCCAGTTTAATACAGTTTATCTCCGTTCCGTTTAGGCCGTTTAGACTGTTTTCCCTATTTTTTTACCGTTTAAACGATCAACCGTTTAATTTCCGTTTACCCCTAAACAAAACAGTTTACCACCGTTTATCGTTTAGTGGCCGGTTAATTAGCCGTTTAGGCGAACATTGGCTTTTTATGTCCACGAGTAGAAATGTGATAATCTACGATATATTTTGTGATGTTCAGTAAGCATATATTGATGTTCTATGATATATTTTTGTGATGTTTGGTAGCATTTTTCTCCTTTTTATTTGACTCTAATTTTATTATTTTATTTTACATTTTATGATATATGTGATGTTCACGTAGTATACATATTATGTTCTATGCTATACTTTGTGATGTTTATGTAGTGTTAATGTGATGTCCTACGATGTATTTATGATATTCTGTATTATATATGTAAATATTTTTTTTTTCTAAATATATCCAAGTGAGATCTTGATTTGAAGGATTTACTTAAGAAACACAGTGATGCAATCGAAATTTAATCTTGAAACTCGGTTTAGGAAATATAACTTTTTTAAGTTTGAAACAAAATACACATGGATGATGTCAGTAAATCTGTTTTACATGCATACTTGTACTCTGTGCTATTTTTAAAACTAAAAAAAAACTGAATTGGATCCAATTTAGTGAAACAAGTGAGGGGGAAAATTATTTTTCTAAGAGGGGGGCGTCTCCCCTCCCAAAAAAAAAAAGACTGACTAGACATCTTGTGGCAGACTTTTTTGTTTGTTGTCTTCCAGTTTTTCAGCAAATCAAAAGTTGCCACGTGACATGTCACACAAAACTAAGATAGAAGAAAATACAACATGTATATATATGTCACATGACAACTTCTGAAAGATTTTGATGTTTGTTATCTTCCACTTTCAGAAAATTAAAATCTATCATGACAAAAAAAAAATACGGCACATGTACATCACGTATCCGGCCAAAAGGAACATCTTACATAATACAACATATATTCATAGAGAACAAATAGAAAATCACAAAACATGTGAAGGAGAGTAGCACTAGCAGAGAGCAGTAGAGCACATTCTGTGGAGCAAAGTACAAGAGAGTGCAGAAAACAAAAACATACGATAGCTCACAGGATGATTTCAAGCAACAGCCGCAGATAAGAAGGCTGGACCCGGACGCCACTGATGCCGCCGCTGCCGACAACGATTATCAACCACTGAACCTTCGAAAACGGACCCGGACGCCACTGATGCCGCCGCTGCCGACAACGCCTCAACCACTGCCTTCAACAACTGTTGCCGCCGCCGTTGCCGCCAACTCTGCAGCCGCTGCAGCCAACGACGCCACTGCCGCAACAGCTGCCGCCGCCGCCGCCGGCAACGTCGCAGCCGTACGCAATTCAAGTTGAACTAGCGGGTAACTTCGTGTCATACTCATACATACGAAATGAAAACAGCAAAACCTACATGGTCGGCAGAACTGAAGATACAGGCCCATTATACTTACGTAAGCCTGTATACAGAAAAATAAGACACGAACGTTAACAAACGTTTGAACTACACGAAAGTGGAAGATAACAACACAAGAAATTTGCTGACAGATATTTAGAAATTCCGAAAAAAAAAGTTGCATCAACGAGGCACCCAAATTCCGTTCTCTTCTTACTTCGCCGGACTCGTCTCGTGTGGGTGTTGCTACTGCCGAATGCCGATGTATCAACTCCAGCACAGAAGCCACATATCCAAGTGTTTATGAATCAGCGTGTTTCTGGTTGTGCTTGCAGACTCAAGTCATGTCTGGAGCAGAAAGAGAGTTTCAGCTTTCAACCTACGGCTTGTTTAGGGCTTGTTTAGAAAAAAAGTTGCATCAACGAAAGGCACCAAATTCCGTTGTTCTTCTTAATTAGCCGGACTCGTCTAGTCTAATTGTGCTTAAAAATACTGCCGAATGCCGATTTATCAACTCCAGCAATTAGTTTTATTTTTATTTATATTTAAGTGTTTATGAATCAAAGATTGATGTGCTTGAGAATTTTGAAAAATCAAGCAAAATGAAGTGTAACTAAGCGGGGTCTTAGTTCCACCAAATTTCTAAATTTGACACTACGCAAAAAGAAGATTTTTAATCAAACTTACAGTATATTTTTCTCTAAATGTTGATAAAATCAAAACTAATTGCACAGAGATTTTGAGAGACGAACGTTTTGATCATAATTAGTCAACGATTAGACAATTATTACCAAATACAAACGAAAAGCTACAGTGCGCTACAGTGCTGGTGAATTTCAGCCGGCGCTGATTCAAGCGGCAACTAAACGCGGCCCTACGCGTTGTTCCTTGAAGGAGAGTTTCAGCTTTCAACCTTGATCACATCGACACAGAAAGAGAACTCTCATGCAGCGAGTGAGAGGCGTTTATTTCTGAGCAGCCCCTCGTCCTCCCTGCTTCGTAGTACCTCGTTGTTATAACTCCACTGACAATCTGACGTGTCTGCCCACCGAGGTTGCCTTGTTGCTGTCGGGGCGGCCGGCCGGGGAGTGGACTCGTTGACCTCACCAACCAGCAATAAGCTGACCAGTGACCACGTGAAGAATCCAGACCGAGACGCGAAACCGGATTAATGCACTGTTGGCAGGGCATCTGGGGGAGGAGCAGAGCAGGGATGTTTAACCCGGTCTATGCACCCTGTTCGGTCTCTCTGTGACGCTGTGCGTGGGCCTTGTCCCTCGTGGTTCCTCGCTCGATCTGTTTGGATAGAAGAGACCTCTTTACCGGCTGGATGTCTCGATCGCCTTTTTTACCGGCTGCGCGTTTGTTTTTGCTTGGAAAGCCGTGGGTGCCATTATAAAAAAAAGGTGAAGGCAGAACGTGTGCTCGGTATGCGCGTTGCCCCATGGCGGATGTCGGATGGCGCGTCCCGGGCTGCCGGCACGCGGCGCAGAACTGCACGTGCGTCTCGCAGCAGCGACCGCGGCGGCGGGCGGGGTCGGAGACGGAGATGGAATGATGAGGAGGCCCGCATGCAACGATTCGGGGTTCTCCCACCATCCACTTCCATCACCCATGGCGGATTCCTTTGGCCGGATCGTGGCATCGCGCTTTCAGACTTGGAGATTTGAGCCACTAGGACGAACACGAAGAGCATCTATGGACTACGGTGGTGTGCCAGCTGCAGTTTTTTAGGATGCCGCTGTGGCTGCAAGTAGAAAAATAAAATCTTTGTAGCTATCAAGTGAAGCAGCTGCAGCTGTGGCTATAAACAGAAAACTAAAATCTGCTATTCTAATATGTGAGCTAATACGTGAAGCAGTTGCAGTTGCTAGAAAAGCATATGCGATCGGGCTGGTAGTCCATCAACCAGCTGTTCACATGTACCGCATCCAATTGGTTATCTTGTAGCCGATTCATAAAGCTTTTTGGCTTTCACTTCCAAAATATACGGTTCGAGGTTTACTGTTTCTACAACTTTACCTTCTTGATAGGAGTAAGTGGACAAATTTATTGCGACTTTAGCCCTTCCAAGTCATTTGATCTACTTGACCCTTAAATATGCAATGATCATGGCAAAATGATCAGTTATATATATTAAAAAAAACTCACAATCCAAATCCCATCTAGGATGCAAGTCCTGTATGTTTTTTGTCATTAGTTTGATCCAAACCTTACTTAAAATGAACTAGAATAGCAATGCCATATAATTACTTTTGTTATGAACTAAACTAGCTGACCCATAAAACATATGAGTATTGGATACCCACTTGTGTCCTTTATCCCACCTAAGCACCCTGATCTATATGATGACATTGCCCCAACACCACCTTGACATGTTCAAAGCTTGTTGTTGCCATTACCATCCTAAACATCGGTGCAAGCTGCTACTGATCTCTGCCATGTCACTCCTTAGGCCATGCCCAGCGTGCTATGTTGGATTATGGACTTGCCGGGCCATGTAGACTCGGTGCCAGTAAAAAAGAAGGATACAGTAGCCTTGTCGGGTGTCAATGCGTCTTGCAGAAGCTATGTACGCCTCACCTGACAACATGCTAGAGCAATCATGGAGTGGTGTGTTGTGGCATAAGAACGCTCCCAAGAAAAGTGGTCTTCCAAGTTTTTTCACCCTCTCTCCATCACATCAAATCTTTAGACACATGCATGGAGTATTAAATGTAGATAAAAATAATAATTAATTACACAGTTTGATTGTAAATTACGAGACGAATCTTTTAAGCCTAATTAGATCATGATTGGACAATAATTATCAAATACAAACGAAAGTGCTACAGTGCCAAATACTGATTTCCAACCACCATCTAAACAAGGCCTCAGTTTGTTGTACGTACATGGAAGGTCAACGGTATATGCCTGCGTTAGAGACTGTGGCCCTGTTTGCTCGTGTTATGAGCCATACCATTTCAGCGAACGAACAGTGTTTTTCTCTCACAACAAATCAGCGAACAGTACTTTCAGTCATGGCTTTTCAGCAAAACGAACAGAGCCCGTGTTGTTAGCCTATCATGTTGCTATTTTTGCTAGGCCTTTGCTTGCCACCTTCTTTTATCTATGCTGACTTCACTACTCCTATGTTGAGCCAGTGATGCCAACATCGTTTGAGCTATGCAAACGTCTCTACGCTAACCATTTGAAGTGTCCAACCACCGACATGTCGTGGTACCACTATGTTTCTACCAGCATCGTCTAGGTAATTTGATCCTAACAAGAAGTAAAGTTCATTAAAGCTGGTACGTATAAGAGTTGCTAGATTTGGAAAATTGAAAAAAAAAAGTATCACTGACTCCAAGTCTCCAGCCCTATTGTAGTGATGGATGGACCAAAGGAGGAGAAGGATGGCGGTGACGTCACGAGGCTAAAAATGTACGGATCTAGCATAGAAATAACGTACTACGATAAATACTACTCCATCTATTACAAGTTGTATATCATTCTAACTGTTTAAGATACATAGCATTTGCTACAGACCTAAATTTAGAATGTAGTGGTATATGTTAAGATTACTGCTTGATTTTAGCTGCAATGAAACACGTGAATATATGGATGTTTTAGTTTCTTTAAAAAAACAGTGAATTACCGCATACTTAATGTTACGTTTACACGGATGTATTCATCTCGTAGTATTAACAAACTCATGTGAGCCTGACAGGCACTTGCACGAAAACAGGAGAGATAATTATTCGTGGGGAAAGCGACAGATGGCCATATGCAACGCATATCGGCAGGTGGCTCGGCGCACCAGGCCCAGCCACATAAACAACAGCGGAAGCCGGGAAACCCAACCCAACCAAACCGAAGAACCAAACGCCGCTCCAATCCCGTTCCCTCTTTTCTTTTTCGACGAAAGAAGATTATGGTCCCGTTGTTTGGCAGGCTCCACTTTACTAGTAAAACTATTTTATTTTATTTCAGCTTCACGAACAGTTTCACCGATGGAGCTAAAGTGGTTTTGGTAAATCGTTTGACAAAATAACTTCTCTGTGAGAGCATGTTTTTATGGCCTAGAGAAGGAGCCAGGAGAAGCCACTTTTTTTTTGGCTCCATCCCACACTAAATCATTGTGAGAGCATGTTTTTGGGGTTTCACTAGTGAAGCTATTTCACTTTATCCCGTTTGACAGAAAACGGCTCCAAACGGCGTCCTGCCAAACGGGGTTATATTAGATAATAGCCGGGTACATGAACACGCTACAAGCACTCTCCAGATTTCAAAACCAAACATGTACAACTTTTTTGCGTATGGATGACCGCACAGGCAAACACTCACCAAAAGCTCTGAAAATAGATGCCTAATGAACGATGGCCAACTTTCATGTAGGCGGAGTTAAGAAACTTCATTTTTGTGTTATCTTTCTTCTTCTTCTTTCTACCATCGAAGAACGAGGAAGATTGATCTAAAACTTATTATCCACAGTACTTCAGTATGACTAGATCTGATCACAGTAAAACAGAGAAATGATCGGAGGAAATTATTCTACAGTGACACCACTATCTCCGCCTGAATGTCGTCGTCCTCCAGAAATAAAAGTCTTCTTATCATCAAACCGATGACGATGCTAGGTGCCATCAAACCGATGACGATGCTAGTGCCGTAGTTGTTGCCAATCCCGTTCCCTCGTCACACACCACACACATACACATACATACACTGCAGAGAAGACCGCGACGCGAGCCCACCCCACACCACCCCAGGCCGAGCGCCGAGCGCGATCCCTCCCGTCCGTGTCGCCCTCTGCGCTCCGCCTTCCTCCTCTTCCACCCCGTCGCTTCCGTGCCATCCGCGGCTCGCCTCCCCACCGCCCATTCCCGCCGCTCCCATGCCTCCGGCCCGCCCGTAGCCGCCCGACGACGACCGCCATGGCCGCCGATTCCGGCAAAGGTGCCCGCCACTTCCTCGTAACCCTTGATTGGTCCGGCCCGATTCGAGTTCTGTCGATCGTTCGCTGAGGGATCGCTCACCTTGGGTTGCGCGCAGGGATGGCCGACCTGGAGATCGGGCCGGCGTCGCCGGGCTCGGAGGGCGCCGTCGCTGGCGTCGAGCGTGGGCGCCTCCGGGGAGCGGCCCGACCAGTCGCCGCCGCGGCTGGCCAAGCGCCCAGGCCTCGTCATGTCCTTCTCGGGGAAGCGGCTGGACCAGTCGCCGGCCGGGTCGCCGTCGCAGTCGCGCCCGGTGCTGGTCATGTCCCACTCCAGCAACCGCCTCGACCAGTCGCCCGCGCGCCCGGTGCTCGTCATGTCCCGCTCCAGCAACCGGCTGGACCAATCCTCCCCGGCGTCATCGCCGGCGCCCGTGAGGGGGGCCGTGCTGGTCATGTCCGGCTCCAACAATCGGCTGGACAGCTCGTCGCCGTCGCCGTCGCCGACGGCCGCGGCCGCCGCCGCGCCCGTGCTAGTGCTCTCCAACTCCGGGAAGCGGATGGACCAGGCGGGGCGGAAGAAGTACGTCAAGCAGGTGACGGGCCGCCACAACGACACGGAGCTCCACCTCGCCGCGCAGCGCGGGGACCTCGAGGCCGTGCGCCAGATCATCGCCGAGATCGACGCGCAGATGACCGGCACCGGCGAGGAGTTCGACAGCGTGGTCGCCGAGATCCGCGCCGCGATAGTGAACGAGGCCAACGAGATGGAGGCCACCGCGTTGCTCATCGCCGCCGAGAAGGGGTTTCTTGACATCGTCGTCGAGCTGCTCAAGCACTCCGACAAGGACAGCCTCACCAGGAAGACCAAGTCCGGATTCGATGCTCTGCACGTCGCTGCAAGAGAGGGCCACAGAGGTGAGCATCATCATACGTAAAAATCCATGGCGTCTTAAATTACTTCTGATTCCAAGTCCTACTAAAGATCAATCACTTGTTTCTGTAAGTTGATCAATCTTTTAATACGAACATGTACTCTGTAACTATTTAATCAATCTCCATGGCTCATTTGTTACTATACTTGATTAATTGTTCTCTTACTTGTGAGTCTTCCAGTGTCTGGTGCTGGAATTAATCTATACCGATAGTGTATACTGACTGTAGTGTATTATCACTAGCTAGTATCAAGCCTGCTTCCATTTTCAGTTTTTCTCTATACTTCTTTTATATAGACAAAAAGTGGAGTACTGACATCTGTTCATAGATATTGTCAAGGTACTTCTGGATCATGATCCATCCCTTGGGAAAACGTTTGGCCAATCGAATGTGACTCCTCTCATAACTGCGGCGATTAGAGGCCACACCGCGGTGGTGAACCTGCTGCTGGAGCGAGTTTCTGGGTTGGTTGAGTTATCGAAAGCAAATGGAAAGAATGCCTTGCACTTTGCTGCTCGGCAGGGGCATGTGGAAATCGTGCAGGCTTTGCTAGATGCTGATACCCAGCTTGCTCGGAGGACTGATAAGAAAGGTCAGACTGCTCTACACATGGCAGTAAAAGGAACTAGCCCTGAAGTTGTTCAAGCTCTTGTGAATGCCGATCCAGCAATAGTCATGCTACCTGACAGAAATGGCAACTTAGCTTTGCATGTTGCAACCAGAAAGAAAAGATCAGAGGTATTCTCCTGCCTTGTTTATCCAGTGTAGAAATTTTAGCATGATTATTTAGTTTCTTTGCTTGTAAATGCAATATTGTTCTGCTGTCTGCTCACAGGTTTCTCTCCTTTTGCAGATTGTAAATGTGCTTCTGCTTCTTCCAGATATGAACGTGAATGCATTGACTAGGGATCGGAAGACTGCATTCGACATAGCCGAGGGCCTTCCACTGTCAGAGGAGTCTCAAGAAATAAAGGAGTGTTTATCCCGTGCTGGTGCAGTCAGAGCAAATGATCTGAATCAGCCTCGGGATGAGCTCAGAAAAACAGTGACAGAGATAAAAAAGGATGTGCATTCTCAGCTTGAGCAGGCCAGAAAAACAAACAAAAATGTCTATGGTATCGCAAAGGAGTTAAGGAAACTCCACAGAGAAGGCATCAACAATGCAACAAATTCGGTCACTGTTGTGGCGGTGCTCTTTGCCACAGTGGCATTTGCTGCAATCTTTACAGTGCCTGGCGGTAACACCAACGATGGTGTAGCAGTAGTTGTGCATGCAGCAGCCTTCAAGGTCTTCTTCATCTTCAACGCCATTGCCCTTTTCACATCTTTAGCAGTAGTGGTGGTCCAGATAACACTGGTTAGGGGTGAGACCAAAGCAGAGAGGCGTGTGATCGAGATCATCAACAAGCTGATGTGGCTGGCTTCAGTGTGCACGACAGTTGCGTTCATATCCTCCTCGTACATCGTAGTGGGGCGGCACTTCAAGTGGGCGGCGCTTCTGGTGACCCTGATAGGTGGGGTGATCATGGCCGGTGTGCTTGGTACAATGACATATTACGTGGTGAAGTCCAAGCGCACACGTAAAATCAGGAAGAGGGTGAAGTCGACAAGGAGGAGCGGCTCAAACTCATGGCAGCACAATTCGGAGTTCTCGGATTCAGAGATCGACCGTATTTACGCCATATGAACCCGGTTCAGCTGGTTCCTTCAAACCTTTTGGCAGTGATACAACACGAATGTATATTATAAACATCCATCACAACCCTTGAGATGCTAGGGGTTAACTCTGTACATTCCAATAAGCTGGTGTAAACTGCCATTCCCCTTGTTCGTGAATCGGCGGGAGGCGACGGTCTTGGTTGTATACTACTTACAGATAGATTTGTCATCAGATTATATAGTATATTATTATATGCAGCATGTTGTGTGCTCCTTGTGCATGGCCTTGATCAGACTCATGACAGTTGCATGATATATTTGGATACCCTTGTTTTGATATTCTGCTCTCAGAGACGCGTCCATGGAGAAGAGACAGCAGCGAGGGATAGCCTTTTTCCAGTCGTTTTCCACAGCACGTGAGAGCGAGAGGTGAGAAATTTGACGTTCTGATATTCCGTTGCTAGGTGTTCTTTCTCTCTGTAGGACAGGACACCCTGGGGCTGCAGTGCACTTGGAACTTGGACGACATGGTGATGGACTGATGGAGACGGGCAATGAGGAGGCACCGTCTAGCCATGTAGGGTAGGGAGAGGAGAGCTTCGCGGCATCTTGATCGCCGTTCGTCTCACTCCAGCGTCTGGATTCTGAAAACCTCATGCGTGGAGAGTCGTCAGGTTGTAAAGGATCTAGAAGGAAACTGACACCAGAGGACAGAGGTGGTTGTTACGCTTACGCATGACCCAAAGCGTTAAAGCCGTGTGAATTGAAGGCACTGACGGTAGACTCATCAGTTGACTTGTCTACTCGCTGTCAATGCTTATTGTAAAATGAATGATTGGTCCATTGGATGATTAGCTAGGTTGATTAGCAGGTGAAAACCACACTGTGCCTGTAGCAGATGGTGGCTGCAAGTTTGTTACTGGTAATGATAATATTAATGAGTAGCATTAAGCTCCAGAGTAGTAAGATTTTCTTTGAACTTTTTTTTACAGTTCACACTTCAGAAAGGCTCGAGGGGAAAGAAACCCTAGCGATCAAAGCAACAGAGGCTTTCGCTCTGCCGAACAAAAGAATGGCCACTTTACAATTGTTACTGTCATTTTCGTTCCTTCGTGACGAAGTTCGCGCGCGGGGCGGATAGATGATGGATGGAAGCTGGAGCTGGAGGTCGTCCGTCAGTGCGCCACCACCAGCACGAGATTTCGCTTTGGAGCTTTACGCATATGCGAATCCTGTGAACTAAAGCTCCTACACCTAAAGCCACGCTTTGTGCCTTTGTGGTATGTTATGTATGTAGAGTGCAGGCTTTCTGGACTAGTTTGTACTAGTACAGAAGAACGTTCTTTTGATCCCAGCCGTATTTGCCATGAACTTTTCCTTCAGAAAAGACATAATAAATACATGTCTTGTCATGAACTCATTCATGGCCGATAATATATAGGTCTTGTTTAGATTAGGATGTAAAGTTTTGATACGTCACATATTACAATATTAGGTGTTTGGATACTAATAAAAAAAATTACATAATCTATCAATAAATCGCGAGATAAATTTATTAAGCCTAATTAATCTATCATTAGCATATGTGTACTGTAGCACTTTGTTGCTAAATTATGGACTAATTAGGCTTAAAAAATTTGTCTCGCAAAGTAGTCACAATCTGTATAATTAGTTATTTTTTAATTTATATTTAATACTTCATGTATATATCACATATTTGATGTGACGTGGCATAAAGTTTTGACGGAGGATCTAACCAAGGCCATAGTAATAACCAGTATGAATGTATGATAATTCCCATTCCTCTGTCAGTTGTCCATCTCGTTTGTTTGCTGTCATTACCAGTGCAGAGTTCCTGAGCTGAACTGACCGCCGACAGCGAAATCTCGGCACGATCTGTACCAGTCGCCTCACCGGTTTTGAACTGGTCGGCGAGCAACGGATATCCGTCCGATCGCTCGGTAGCCAACGTCAATGGATGAGGCTGCACTGCACTCGTGCCGCGTCAACGGTCGACGGTCGACGCCCACCTTTTGTTTCCGGCGCTGAGCTGAGCTGAGCTCTCGTCCAAAACAGTCGCTCCGCCATCAGCCCATCACCCAATCAAGAGGTGGTGGAAAAATGTGAACCCTCGGGCCGGGATGAACACGAAAATGACATTCACAGAAATTTAAAAAATACAAACACCACGAGTAAAATAACAGAAGATGAAACAAATTAGCATGAGCGAGCCGAAGAAATCGAAGCAAAACAAAACAAAAATCGGTCGTCACCTAACATTTGCAGCGATCACCGAACTGCATCTCAACGATAGCTCTAAATCAGCGTTAGTTATGCATCCACGTCACGGCTCACAATTAGTCATGCTCGTTTTCTTAATTTAGGCACAAGAAAACAAGCAGACAGAGAGAACTTTTTTCAATAACAAGTGGTAAACAAACAAAAGTGGGGAAAAAACAAACAATCCAGGAATTCGATTCCGTTTCCCCATCCCTGCCTCTCATGCGTTGATTCAACTTGGGATTTATTTAACGACGATCGGGCAGCCCGTCGTCCCTTGTCTTCTTCCTCGCATCATCCGCTGATCCGCCTGTGCGCCCTGTGGATTAGGGGCCCCATGGCTCACATGCACGCCGGGGGCGAGCTGGAGGATGCGCCGCAGAGCTCGTCACGCCGGTATTTTTTTTTTTGGTTCCGGCAGCCATCCATGAGTGCCGTGTGCGTGCCGTGCCCTGCCTGCCTGCCTGCCGCCGCCCAATTCCTATTAGTGGAGAGAGATGGGGATTGGGGGCACGCATGGCGTCCCGGATTCTATATTTCGGACGCGGATTCCGGATGCCCATCATGCGTTCCATTGCTCGTGCGATCGATTCGCCATTGCCGGTTGATCTGCTTCCTGGCTGCCTTTTCGTGGCGAGGTCTGAGGTGGAAGTGCTGGGGCAGCTTTCCCCGGTGATTGCATTACATTGCATCGCGTCGTCAGGGAACGGGGATACACACGGGGACATGATTGGGAGACGGGCGTTGCTTAGCCGCGTTGCGATCGTTTTCTATCTAGATCTGTATATGCTACTGCTAGCCCAATTCATGTGTGTTTTTCTGACGCAAATTGGGGTGCTTTTACGTGGGTGTAGATGGAGTGGGGAGGGCACTTGCACGCCTTCCTTTTACAATTGCTTCATTCACACTTCCTTTCTTTTTGTCTCGACCTTTTCGTCTCTTCTTTTTCGTCACTTCTTTTTCCGTTCATGGATTTTATTTCCACGTTGAGCTGGGATTGGGTAGCTAAAGTTCTTGTTTTTGAGACACGCCTAGGCTAGAATTGGGAGAAACCAAAAAAAAAAAAAACTGTATGTAGTAGGTAAATTGGGCAAGTGGGGGAAAAAGGCGGGAGGAAATGTTGCAAGGCGCTAATGGAGTAACGTGGGTTGTCATTTCAGCCATTGTTGCTGCATCGTCTTGACGACGTGCCCGCGAGGAGTTTGATTTGATGGAAGCGAAGAACCAAACCGGCGGCGGCGAGGAGTACAGGCCGCAGCAGCCGGCGACGATGGACTCGCCTAGGGCGGCGCAGGCGGCGACGCGGCGCAAGAAGATGACGAAGCAGCTGACGGGGAAGCGGGACGACACCGCGATGCACGCGGCGGCGCGCGCCGGGCAGCTCGCGTCCATGCGGGAGATGATGTCCGGCAAGGACGCCGAGGAGCTCGGGACGCTGCTGTCGAGGCAGAACCAGGCCGGGGAGACGCCGCTATTCGTGGCCGCCGAGTACGGGTACGTGGCCCTGGTGTCCGAGATGATCAAGTACCACGACGTCGCCACCGCCAGCATCAAGGCCCGCAGCGGCTACGACGCGCTCCACATCGCCGCCAAGCAAGGGGATGTAGGTATTGATTGATTGGTTTTTAATTCCTTTTCCTTTCTCATGCATATGCATGCATGATCGCCATCCATTGCCCTTCGAGAGTCGAGATCGATGATGTCTCATCCATCATGCACTGCACATACAGACGTCGTGAGGGAGCTGCTGCAAGCGCTGCCTCAGCTATCGATGACGGTGGACTCGTCGAACACGACGGCGCTGAACACGGCGGCGACGCAGGGGCACATGGACGTGGTGAGGCTCCTGCTGGAGGTGGACGGGAGCCTGGCGCTGATCGCGCGCAGCAACGGCAAGACGGCGCTGCACTCTGCGGCGCGGAACGGGCACGTGGAGGTGGTGCGCGCGCTGCTGGAGGCGGAGCCCAGCATCGCGCTGCGCACGGACAAGAAGGGCCAGACCGCGCTGCACATGGCCGCCAAGGGCACCCGGCTGGACCTCGTGGACGCGCTCCTCGGCGCCGAGCCGGCGCTGCTCAACCAGACGGACAACAAGGACAACACGGCGCTGCACATCGCCGCGCGCAAGGCGCGGCACGAGATCATCAGGCGGCTGGTCACGATGCCCGACACGGACCTCAGGGCGATCAACCGGTCCCGCGAGACCCCGCTGGATACGGCGGAGAAGATGGGCAACACCGACGCCGCGGAGCTGCTGGCGGAGCACGGCGTGCAGTCGGCGCGCGCCATCAGCCCGAGCGGCGGCGGCAACAAGCAGCAGCGCGAGCTGAAGCAGCAGGTGAGCGACATCAAGCACGAGGTGCACTCGCAGCTGGAGCAGACGCGGCAGACGCGCGTGCGCATGCAGGGCATCGCGAAGCGCATCAACAAGCTGCACGAGGAAGGGCTGAACAACGCCATCAACTCGACGACGGTGGTGGCCGTGCTGATCGCGACGGTGGCGTTCGCGGGTATCTTCACGGTGCCCGGGGAGTACGTGCAGGACCCGGGCAGCCTGGCGCCCGGGCAGGACCTGGGCGAGGCCAACATCTCCCACCAGACGGCGTTCATCATCTTCTTCGTGTTCGACTCCGTGTCGCTCTTCATCTCGCTGGCCGTCGTGGTGGTGCAGACGTCGGTGGTGGTGATCGAGCGCAAGGCCAAGAAGCAGATGATGGCGGTGATCAACAAGCTCATGTGGGTGGCCTGCGTGCTCATCAGCGTCTCCTTCCTGGCGCTGTCGTTCGTGGTCGTGGGCCGCGCCGAGCGATGGCTGGCCGTGTCCGTCACCATCATGGGCACCACCATCCTGGCCACCACCATCGGCACCATGCTCTACTGGGTGATCGCGCACCGCATCGAGGCCAAGCGGATTCGCACCATCAAGCGCAACAGGCTCAGCCGCTCCCGCTCCTTCTCCTGCTCCGGCATGTCGGAGGGCGAGTGGGTCGAGGAGGAGTACAAGAGGATGTACGCCATCTGACCATCCACCGACGCTAGCTGCATGCTTTCATCTCGTGCATTTGCATGAGCATCGCATTGCCAAGCTGCCGTGCTTCGACCCGGGCTAACATTTTTCTTCAGTAACTCTTGCTGATGGAATTTTGCTGAGGACGGAAGTAGCAACTAGCGAATAAACCTACAATTAGATTATTAGAACCCTATGCGCCTCCTGCGAGATTAGTAAAATTTGTCTTCGTCAAGAGGAAAAGCTGATTGCTAAAGTCATGATAGAAGATAGCGCAGTGTTGCCACGCCAGTGCACCAGTGGACTTGTTATTGACTTCAGACCATGTATGCAGTATAGTTTTAGTGAAAGATTTTATTAGACGCTGTAGCCGTGATTTCTAGACGACCATGCACTTTACATTGTCTGACTCTGACTCAAGTATAATGTGATGGGCCAGTTGGGCCAGGCCAGATGCGAGTTATTGTATCATCGCGAAACACTGTGTTTGACTCAAATATCATGTTTTTGGTGTATCAGCAATCTGTTGGGCCATTTGGAAGGCGCGCAATAGAGCGTGTTTTGACAAAGTTGTGATTAAAAGTCCGCTGGATATTTTTTGTCATATTTGTGCTCTTATGAATTACTAGACAGGCCTCTATGCTGAACCTGATAAGGAGCAACTCATTGAGGGAATCAACACGATGCTGAAGGTGGCGAAAGGGATCCTGAAGCGTCAGAAGGAGGAAGCGGAAGCACCAAAGCAACTTCAAGACGGCGGAACCGGTTCAGACAACGCTGGAGCTTAAATCGGTCTACTGCCAACAAGTCATCAAGTTTGCGGCTGTGAAGATTGAACCATCCTTTTGCTCACTGGATTTAGTCATCTTTTTGCTGGAAACCTGTCTGTTGGTGGCATATGTGCCCCGTAGTCTGCGTTTGTTAGTGTTTTTAAGTTCCTGTAGTCTTCCTTAGGTTCTGTGAGCGGATGTCCTAACTCTGAGCCAGAGTCTCAGGCGTCCCAGTTTGCTCACCGTGACTCTGTTTTCGAGCTCCTTGCTTCTGTTATGTTATCCTCCAAACTCTGTATTTCCGTTATGTCAAGTAATGGGAATGGGAAGGTTTCTCGGTTGGAAAAAAAATTAAATCCAAGATTACTCGAACGCCTGCTAACTTGAAACCCTGGCAAAAAGATAACGATACAACTGGATTGATTCTCTATGTACGTGCCAAGCAGTTGTATGCATATTATTATTATTTCAAGCGCACTAGTATACAATTCACTCGATCGACACACATACCACGACTATATTTCTAAATTGTCCATGCCTGCAGCGGCCACAACACGCGTATCATGCATGCATTATTGATAGTCCTAAACTATAAGTATGGTTTTATATAAACAAAAAAAAGAGGACGGATTGTGTTCTTGCTCTTCTTAAGAAGGCCCGATGGGTTGATCGAGCTACCTGGACTAATCCGTGGCCCACGGCTGAGCACGACAAACTGGCCCAGCAATCTACATACAGATCGACTCGGACGCGTTTCTAAGCATCTCAAAGTACCGGATTTCCTTCCGAAACATAATTTGAATGGTTATGAGAGTTGAAGGAGTATAAAATGCCTGGTTTTAGATTTTTTGATTGAAAAAACCTAGACTGCAGTAATAATTTAGAGGGGGGGGGGTGTAAATATACTTTATCCCAGGAGAAGTCAAAGAAAAATGGAAAAAGTTTCGTCAAAAAAGAAGAAAAATGAAAAAGAGAGGCTATTAGGCTATAGATCTGAGAGGGAGGGATCTTGTCCCAAAATAGGAAAAGATTTAGACTATACTTTTGATAGTGTCAAAGTGTTGTGGTGGTTCCAGTTTGAATAAATTTCAAAGCTGAACCAAAAGAAATTAGGTGTGAAGTTATGTGGAAACACACACGTGTTTTTTTTAAAAAAACCGATGAGAACCCCATTTTAATTACTAGAAAGAAAATACATATATTCATACAAATAAACAGTAGATCAAACAAGTTCTAGAGCTACGATCTAAGGGCGTGTTTGGTTGCACGCCACAACTCCCCACGCCAAAAGCACAGTGACTTTGGGCACTGCTTGGTTGCCGTGTAACCTTTGGCCGCCACCATGTTTTTTTTTTCTATCTTTTGCAACTACTGCTTGTAGTTTTGCTCTGTGGCGATGTATGGCGTGTGGTGTCGATTTTTTACGCCACAGCCGTGGCGCCGCCGAACCTTCGGCGTGGCGTGAGTTGACATGAAAAATGAAAAGCGTATATCAAAGCTTCAGCCAAACCCTGACGGGCTGACATGTTGTTGTAATTGCAAGTTTAAATTAAAATACAATTTTTACAAGTTGGGGAGTTGAATATATAAGGTAAGACATGCCTTAACTTGTGACGGAGGCGGCTAAAATTCTTGTAGTACTTGCAGCTAGGAGAGAATTTACCGCCATTCTGACGGAAGCATCGACGCTGAACAGTAAGGACACCGCATGGTTCTGTAGATGGACAAAACTTGTCTGTCTTGAGCGACCGCGAGTAGTTGACCTTGTACTGCCGCAGTACAGCTACGGTCTCTTGCTCCCCTGGACGGCTGGACGAACGGTCTCCTCCTGGCTCCAGCCTCCAGCCTCCAGCCTCCAGGAGAGTCGAGACACACGTAAAGCCTGTCGTGATCGTGACGGCCTGTTTGGTTCCGTAGACCTAATTTTAGATGTTTTGACACATGTATAAAGTATTAAATATAGACTAAAAAATAATTAATTACACAGATTACGACTAATTTACGAGATAATTTTTTAAGCCTAATTAGTCTATCCGGCCTCCGGCCTCCAGTGACGGATTAATTAGGCTTAATAATAAGCAGTCTCGAAATTAGTCTTCATCATAATTAGTTTTATAATTGTATGTTAAGTCCTTTTAATTAAGATTCGAACTTCCGATGTGCATGTCTAAAACTTAGTCAGTGGAACGAAACGAGCCCCCCCTCCGTGCAAGCCAGTGTGTCGTGCGGGCACGGCATCGGTATCCTCGCGCAAAGGCCAACGAGCGAGGGGGTCCGGGGGAGGCTCTCGAAAAGCACGGCCAAAACCCTCGCGCCGCCCGGTCCGGTTGCCGTTGCCTTTGCTCCAGCAGTCCAGCACAGGCTAGTTGTGTTGGAGAACAGCGAAAGGTGCATGCGTTCCGGCTCGTACACATGCGCGCCCGCACGCACTGGGCCAGCCGCGTCGCGTACGCAGGCAAGGCAAGGCCAGCAGCGATCCCTATCGCCATTGAAACTAACCAACGGATCCAAAAGGCCTCATGATACTCCACTGCTATAGCAGCGCTACTAGCCTACTGCTCTTTTCTACAGGGCCGGCCGCCGGCGCAGCGTAGCTGTAGCTGTACGTGGCACTCAACCCGACGCATCTCATCTCGGTCTCGTTCTCCTTCCCGTTCCCGTCACATGGCGAGGATGGGAGAGGAGGCTCAGCAAAGCGCAAAGCAAAGGTCTTTTTACGTTTGCTGCTGCGCGCGCTCTCGAGCCTTTTACCGCTACTCGAGTAGAGAGCGCCTTTGGCATTGCCTGGAGAAAACTAGGGCAAAGCAGAAGCAGGACCAGGGAGTGAGAGCCCGCCAAGTTGCCCGTGCAAAGGGGCTTTTATCATCTCCATCTCCGGCTCCAAAGCGTGAAATTTCTGGCCTGCTTGCTTTGCCGATCCGTCGTGCATGTTCTCATAGCCCGAGCCCTCGGAAAAGTGGAGGAGAGCCCCTCCAATTAGCCTGTCGCGCTAAACATCCCAGCAGCAACGGGAGTTGAAGGCGTGGAGTTAGGATTTAATTGGGCGGGGGCAGCGGAAACTCATCTTCACTTATTTGGCAATCCGTTGCAACTTTAGTACAATCATGCCATAAGATTTGAACCTTTTGATCCATAATATAAAGGGTACGAGCAATGTGCCAAGAGATATTTTGTAGTACTACTATCCCATTTCTTTAAAAGTTCCTCCGCACGATCTCCATATACAATCGTTTTCCTTTCTGAACAAAAATCTCCATCTGCAATCTCGGTTGGACCATACTGTAGGTTCAGAAATCAACACAGCGTCTTTGTCTTAATCCAACCACCCCAAATTCGCTCAAGTCCGTTTTACCACTTGTTTCCACGACGAACAAGGAACATGCCATTCTTGGCACGGTCCGCGTCACGCCATTGAAAGAATTAAGGGCTCCCAGTACCACCACATTGCCGGCTGGAGCGACCGGCCGACCATGACAAAGAATCGGAGGCCCGTCAGGTCATGTGCGGCCGCGCGCGCCTGGTGGCCAGGGCCAGCCGCGGCCGCCGAGCGAGCGAGCGGGACTGCGGCCTGCGGGGTGCGGGTTGTTGCGCGCACCTTCATCGCCTCGCACCTTTCCGGCCTTCAATGATGCCGACGCTTTCGACGGCCTATCGCGTTGCGCGCTTTTCCTCGGCGATCCGCCCGCCCATCATGCCGCCGATCCACATCCACTCCACCACCCGATCGCCAATTCCCCAGCATCAACGCCGCGAGAATCCATCCACACCCCGGCCGGCCCCTGCGTGCCGCGTGCGCTTCCATCTTTTTTTTTTCTTTCCAATAACCCCTTGCTGGCTTGCTGTTTTGAGACTTGAGAGCAGCTGCCGGCAGCGCTCGTGGATGGCAGATGGCACTGCCGCGGCTGCTGCTAGGCGGTAGCACTAGTGTACTAGTACAGTAGTTGTCGTATTTGCTCAAAATCAGCCTTTGAACGGAGTATCTATAATGAAGATCTATTTTAGATTGTCTGAGAGACGATCTAAATATAGACATCATCTTTCGGAAATTTATTTGCAAAAAAGATTTTCTTTTGAGTCTGGTTGTTAAAAAAGATGTCGAATAGGTATTGAATCCTTTGCTCGTAGCATTACCAAAAACAAATGCCTCTCGTATTTTAGGCGTTGTTGTTGACCTTGCTCGCACTGAATGAGCGAGCGGCCCGGCCGAGCGGCAGCTTGAGGCAATCCTCAGTCAGCAACGGCAGCAACGGCCGGCAGACCAGGAGTAACGCCGACGACGACAACGTGGTCCTGTTTTTTTTTTTTTTTTTGTTAACAACGATGGCGTCATCTACAGCACTCTGAAACCTGAATGCAGCACAGGATGTTCGGCCCGGTCGCCTGGAGCGTGTCCATACGCGCGCGCCAGGGTCTCTTTGTAGAACTACGAACCTCAAATTCCTTTTTTTCACAAATCCGGGCTTTGTATATCTGATGACCGAAGAAGAAATTGTATTACTTATATATGAGTGAAAAAGATAGGATAAACTTGACATTATTGATGTGGTCACTTTTGAAATCCCATCCATTTTTGCAAACGTCACGGGCTCACACGGCTAGTGGCAGTAAGCTACTACAGCTGATCGAGCTGGGTTGCTAGGCCAGGCGGAAGGCGCGGAGGCGGAGCAGAGGGCGGCGTCGCTGACGCTCTTCCTGGCGAGCCCGAGCTGCTGCTGCGACCGCTTGCAGTAGGCGATGGCGCCCTGGATCAACCCCTCCGACTCCGACCGGGCGCTGCTGCTCCGCTTCAGCGCCGGCCTGCCGCCAACCCAGGAGCTCCTCCTCGCCGAGGAAGACGACAGCGGCTTCGCCGGCGCCGCGGCGGCGGCCGCCGCCGTCGTCGCTGCGTGCCGCCACTTGATCACGCCGGAGAAGGACTTGCGCTGGCGGGCGGCGGCCGAGGCCGCGGCGAGCTCCTCCTCGTCCATCAGCTTCTCCTGCTCGATGCTGCTCCGCAGGGTGGTCGGCGCCGCCCTGCCGCTGCCGCTGTGGTAGCCGTTCTTGATCTGGCCAAACGCCGTCTTGCAGGCAGTGCTCTTCGTCTCGCCGGGTGGTGCCACAGCAGCTCTGGTGCTGGCCCGGACATCGGCGCCGCGGCATTGCTCGTCGGAGCACGATGTCCTGGCGAACAGAGACCGGAAGAAGGCCCGGGACGCCAGCAGCTTCGCGTGCACCGTCCGCGCCGCCCTCCTGCGGCGGGAGCACTCGGTGCGTAGCCTCGACACCGGCTGCGTGTCGTCGTCGCGGCACCCAGCGGAGTGCGAGTGCTGCAGCGGCGCCACCGTCGCGGCGCTCCTCCTGCCTGCGCCACCACAGCCGCCACCGCCGGCGCCGACGTCAACCTCCTGCGCCTTGCCGCCAGGACTCGGTGGTGCGGCCTTGTGCGGGGCAGCAGCCGGCGGCGGCGGCGGCGGCTGCAGCCTGCCCCGGCAGAGAAGCTCGTCCGCCGCGCCGCTCCGGCGCACCCGGAACTCGAACTCCCCGCACGAGCTGATGTCCAGGTCGATGTACTCCTCCTCCACGAACGAACACACGCTAGCCATTGCGTCGCCGCAGTGCTGAGCCGTGGCTCTGGGGCACATTGCTTGCTCCGACGACGGGGCAGGCGAATTGGGGGAGAAGATGGGTTAATATTGGGGAGGCAGCGTCAGGGGGTTTGAAAAAATTTATGGGCAAGCAATGGCAGTGGCCACTGCCCAGCGGCAGCGGCAGTGTGAGTGCAAGGAGGGATCCAAGAAAACAGAGTGGGGGTGGGGGTGTGGTAGGCAGGGCCCCCCTCGTGTTGGAGGCTGGCTCTGGCTGGGGCTGGGGGCTGGAGCTGGACGAATGATTCCGGGGTTTGTCTTGTGCTCACCTCACTCCACAGTCCAGTGTACAGCTCCAGTTGCTCACCTTTCTTGGAGACTTGGGGTATTTGTACTGTGTGATGCACTGGGTATTGTACACTGTACAGTATGGTGTACTCCTCCCATGTTCTACCACAATTACCAAAGCAGACTATGACCAGATTTATGTACTTGTGCGATTGTATTAATCACACAAACAGTACTGTGTCCTGCATGGCTCAAAATTTGGTTGAAGAATGAAGAGGGTCAGTGGTGGACTGGTGGGGGATGATGAGTTCTTGGCTGTTAGCCTGTTACATGGCACTGCTGCACATTTTTCTTTCACAGGTGGTGTCAGAATCAAAGTCAGTAGAAACTACTGGGAACACAAGATTGTTACCTTTTTACTATTTGTAAGATGAGAGCACGAATGAGTTTATAAAAAAAACAAAAGTATAGGTTGACAAAGCTAGGGTAAACACCTTTGCGCAGAGAAAGGGCTGAGAGCTTCTTTTGTTCCTTTGCGTTCTTTTAGCGCGTCTGTGATCTTTCTGCTGTCAACGAAAGCTGAGGAAAAGAACAAAGGCACGCAGACGGTTAAAAGAGGAGGTTGACTTTCCAGTGCAACGTCACAATGGCATTATACCCAAGAAAAATGTTTGCATATATACGTACGGCGTTCGCTTGCACTTGTCATATTTGCAGGTCAATCCCAGCAAAAATCTACAGCGAACAGGACGTGACACAAAAAGAAACAAAGTTACGTACACGGCTCTGCACTCTGCTATACTACATTTCCCAATGATTTTGTGCTAATGACTCTATTGCTTTACATTGAAGACTACTGGATGTCTGGGATAAATCTCATTCACATCTTACCCAGATCATACGAAGCCAGGTCTTGGTTCGTCCTCGAGGTCATCGAACTCCCACCCGCTGATCTCGTCGGCCTTGTATTCAAGCTCGAACTTGGCCAGCTCCGATTCGGACTCTGACGGCAGCCGTGTCCTGAGCTGAGCCGCGATCGGGGAGTCGCTTCTCGAATGGGGTGACGCGGACACTATCAAGGAACGGGATCGTTTCTTTTTCTCTGCCTGTTCTTTGATCTCAATTTGAAGCACTGGACGTGGCACCGATTCGAACTCGATGCGCAGCTTGTCAATGGTCGTAAACAGATTTTTTACCTCAGGATCATCCCTTCTGCACAAACTATAGGCACAGATCTGGCAGTGTAAAGGACGGCATGCAAATTATGTAGCCTGGACTCGAAAGATAGCACAAGAGAGATCTTGAAAAGCAACTACCTCGTTTTATAGTAATCCTGGTTAGAAGAATATATTGCTCTGATACTATCAACCAAACTGAATGCAGCTACGACCTGAAATAGACGCACACATATTGAAGAATTATGTGGCACAAAAAGATACTTTCCGAGTCAGGGTTCATGATGCCAGCTTTAACTAAAATTTTCGTGTTCTCTTCCATTAGCAGTGTATATTTTTATCATCAGTAAACAGGGTAAATAATCATCAACAAAATCACCTTTTTCTCAGTTTGGAGATATTCTTCCTCAAGGTATTTACAAGGGTCTGATTGCTTAGACGGACCATTAGCTCCATCCTCTGCTGACACGGATCTGGTGATGCAACTAAAAATGTTCAGCCACAGGGAAGATGCTTTGAACAAATTAGACTGAAAAATGAAAACCATACCTGTCACCAAATATTTTCAAGTTATCAACAAAGGTTTTGATACAGTCAATAGAAGTGCTTAGCTCTTCCTAGAATTCCAAAAGAAAATTTCAGCAGAACAACTAATATTGCTGTGCAAAAGCTCGTAAACAGAAGGCCTCAATAGTGTATCACTTCTTCGGAAAGTAAAAGTCAAATTAAGTACCATGCATGCAGAAACATGATACTTCATCAATTTCGCAAAGCAGAGTCCACATCTATCCAATTCTTCACTGAAGTCAACATAAGAGGAATGCATGTCAGCAAATATTTTGAGCCTGTAACTTCTGAGAATCATTATTAGTTATCACAATGTGTTGTTCAGGGGTTCAGGGAGGGAGCCTACTTACTTGGCCTGCTTTTCCCTTAGCTCTTCAAACAAGGACTGCAATTTCCATGTATCTTTCAAAAAGCTGATCCATGCACTGACAGTGCTTGCTTCTACTTTACATGAAGCTATGGATCTTGAAAGTTCATCTTCCTGGGGATATGACAGAAAATAAAAAATAAACAAGTGAACTGTGCTAACACAATGCATTTCTTAAACTAGAAACTAACAGAAAGTTAACCTTTGTTTTTAGGTGCAACACAATCTGATTGCTGGCTTCATCAAATTGGTCGCGTTCCTCTCTAGTTTTTTTAAGCTTCACTGTAGCTACTTTCAATTGAGTATTCACCTGTAATATGAGTTTCAGAATCACTCTTAAAAACAAACATCTCGTGTAAAAATTAGCCTCTACGAATAAGTAAACCAAACCAATAAAGATGTCAGATTTTAATAGACTGCTTCACCAAAAAGCAGGTCACACTAACTTAAAATATATTTGAGATGCAGGCAATAATAACATTTCTTTTTTCAAATGGTAATAATAACATTTCTGAGAAACTGATATCACATTCACAGGTCATAGTAATAATAGCATTCATATTACCACATTATAAACTAGTGTCTTGTATCCTAAGAGGAAGAACTTATGATGGCTTATCAAAAATCAATTACTTTTATCAACTATATAGGTAACGTCAATGTCCACGGCAAATTTGTTGGTTGTCTCCACCCTGAACTGTTTAGCAAAAAAATCCCAGCAATTTTGCCACTATGTAAGTTGCTGAAATATAATGGAAGAAATATATTGAGCGATAGATCTTCATGAAGGTGGAAATAGAAAGAAGAATATTGCCTTCTTCAGTTCTGCCTCAAGTTGATTCCTTTGCTCCTCAAGTCCAGAGATCTCAGCAACTAATTCCTTTTATAAAACTTAATTGATTAAGCATCAATCAGGCAGGTCGCAGAAGCATAAAACCAAGTGCATGGATTAAGGATTGAGAAAAAAAAAAATTGGAACAGCTTGGATATCCTGCAATATTTTTTTTTCTTTTGCAACTGCTTTGATGGATATGGTATTTGAAGTTAATGTTTTCCTTTTGTTTCATTGGGAAATTATGGGGTGTTTTTTTTTCTGTCAATATGAATGTAGATTAAATCCTTGTTTAACCCTCTGACATAATCATTTAGCTAATAAAATACTATGGTGGTTTGCAGATGATAGATGACTCAGTCACAAGCTAGTAGCACAAAAAAATACCTTTTCTACACCACTAATTTCATTTGTTTTGGTGACACGGAAGATAAGAGATTCTTCCTTTTGTAGCCTGCATTGTAAAGCATAGACAATCAATTCAGTTTAAGCAGAGAGTGTCATTTCAAATGTTTTGGAACAAAATAAATCAGTGGCTCTGAAATGAACAAAAATATGCATTAGAGGAATTAACAGCATAACATATGTGTTCAATTGATATATATAAGTATGCAAGCATGTTTATGATTGATACATGCTAAATTGCTGAGACTAAATATACAGCACAAAGAATGCTCAAGGTATAAACCTATTTTCCATGATACGTTTTTCTGCTTTTGCAGATGAATTTGCAAGGGATTCAGACAAAACCTTCAGTTTATCGACCTGCAAAGTTTTATAAATGGACATTAATATAACACCCATGTATCACTTTACAAGGGAGGACAATTAGATAAGTTTTATCAAACAAAAACGCTTTAGATTCTTCTGCTCTATTAAATTTAAGTGCTAAGTGAAGAAGCATGCAGCAAAAATTGAAGTGAAATTAATTTCCAAATAATAGGAGCATCATGCCTTCTCAAAATGAGTCTCCAATGAATCACCAGGATGTATTGATTTCTTCTTCAATAGAAGTTCTTCCATTCTAGAGCAAAGTCGAACCTCAGAAACTGCCTTTTTGAAACCCTGCAAACAGTATCATAAAGACATTGAATCTACTTACACTAACTATATTAACAATGATGAATAGTAAGTTGAACCATACTGGAATATGACAGGGAAAGAAAACCTCAGTCAACTACTGATACCTAAAGACAGCATGCATGCACGGAATAGACAAGAAAAAAAGGTTTCTGTAGTTAAAAAGGAAAACATGATATATTTCAAAAAAGAACTAAACAATGATTAAAATCCTATCTAACAGTTGAAATTACTTTTTCCTAACATAACACGTCCGTATTTGGAATAGAAAAAACGACCTAATGTATACTTCATAAATGTTCCGTGCACTTGCACAAAGATTAATTTACAAATATGTATTTTAAACAAATCAGAGGCACAGTATTCATTACCATACCATTTAGTTGGCATCTAGGAGAAATAAATCAATCTTACAAATACATTGCATGACAGTGCTTCCTTTTATCAATTGAAGGAAAGGATAACCCACAGTTGTACAAGCTGAATAACTTTAAACTTAGGCCTACCTCAGTGGTTGTTTGAGATTTTTTATTCTGATTGCCGGTTGATGTAGCACGAAGAGCATCCATTGAATTTATCTGCTGTTGCAACTGAGTAATTTCATTATCTAATCTGGAATTGAGAAAATAGAGGTTTTAATTTTTAAAGCATGTAAACATGGACACGCAAAAATGGAACTACAAGCACCTTCAACCCCTGCCAAGAGAAAAGAGAGAACCTTGCAATGTCAGCGTTTATCTTTAGCCCTGCGACCGCAGTCTGAGCAAACTCAAGCAGCTCATCACGTTTTGCCTGGAAAGGGAGAACATAGAAGTCAACATCACAGTTGATGCATTTTATGCTTTTGTTGGCATCTAATAACACCAGGTAGAAAGTACATTTTACATGATTTATGCAAGATAGCTCAACTTGTTGGGACTGACTAGGGGCTCTTGGTGGGTTTCAACTCTAGCCTACCCCAACTTCTTCGGGACTGACAGTTGTTTTGTTGTTGTTGTTGTTGTTGTTGTTGTATGCAAGATAGCTCAACGATCAAATAACTCATATGTTGAGGTGGATCTAAAAGGTTCTACGATGAAAAGTAGTTATACATGAGTACATGGTTTAATACTGAGAACAGGTAAAACGAAAAGGAAATTCATACCAACACTTCGTCACTATAACTTGAGAATAATCTTGCCAGGTCCTTTAAACTACTCAAGAGTGCATTGTGCACATCCTTCCCTCCCGAAAGGCACATTCTGTAATGAAGAACCATAGCGTTATATGTTGCCTGAATAGAGGTAAGATGGAAAAATTGAAAGGAGTATATAACTCATATTAATGTGCTAATTGCTAAATATAGTGTAGTGGAGTAAGATGGAAAAAAATTTGTAAGTTAATCTGTATACAATGAACTTTGTGATCATGCATACATAGCCATCTTTTGTACACTAGGCTCGAGACTTGTTGTGTAAGAAACAGACACGATCATATATGAATGGAAAAATTTCAAGAACCGAGTAACAAGACATCAAATGGTTGAATAACTTGCCCAAAAACTTCTGAGATCAATGAAACTTCTTCCTCAGTTGGGGCTTCCCTAATCTGATCATTAGAAGACGAGTCAAAAATTTGAAATTACCAAACAATTGTACCTACATGGCTACAACGAGACCATTGCAATACCAAATTGCACGGCCACAAACCCAACTCACCAAGGAGAGAACAACACACTCGAGGGCTTGGCTGTAGAGGAAGACATGGAGAAAGTTCCTCGGCTCCGCGCTGCTCTCGTAATCGATGTACAGATCCTGCAACGCTCGCAGGCACAGGTGGTCCGGCGCCTAATGAGTCGGGATCACGCAATGCCATCCAAAAATTTCTGGAAAAGCCAGCAGCCAGGGAGGGATGCTGACCAGCAGGGGCGCGGTCTGGTCCGTATTGTCCCCAAGTTGCGGCTCCCGCACCGCCTTGGTCGCGCGTTGGGTCTCCTTGAGCGCGACGAGCCACCGGCGCAGCAGCTGCACCCGCTCGTCCCCTTTGTAGGTGAGCGCCGCTTCTTCCAGCCTCTTCGCCGCCACCTTCACGCTCTTGTAGTTCCGGTTCCCCTGCGAGAGAACAGGCGCAAACCCTAGTCACGGACGATCGCCGGGAATGTACGGACAATGCGGCGGCCGTTGATGAGAAGCTAGGGGGTGGTCGGTACGGTGATGAGCCTGGCGCCGCCCGCGACAGCCTGGCCGGCGTGGTGGACGCCACTGACGACGGTGTCAAGGGAGGTGCGGACGGTGCGGGTGAGGAGGGAGCTGCGACCGCCGCTCGCCTCCACGGCGCGGTGCACCGCGCTGCGGAGCCACGACATCGCCCCGCGCCCCGGTCGTCGCCCGTCGGCTTCCCCGCCTCTTGACCCTCGAACTGTCGTTGACACAAAAAAGCGGAGAGCGTCTCGTGCGCGGGAGGCGGGGACGCGAGCGGAGCAAATGCGCCGATGCAGGGGGTGCTCTTCCCGTCCCGGTGGCGCGGTGCGGCCTACGAATGCGTGCGCCCGCGAGAAATTTGGGCCTTGTTTAGTTTACATCAAAATTCCAAGTTTTTTCACTCTCTCTCCATCACATCAATTTTTAGCCGCTTGCATGGAGCATTAAATGTAGGTAAAAAAAATAACTAATTGCACAGTTTAGTTGGAAATCACGAGATGAATCTTTTGAGCTTAGTTGGTCCACAATTGGACAATATTTACCAAATAAGACGAAAACGCTACTATTCATCAGGTTGCAATTTTTTGCAATCTAAACATGGCCTTGGACAATATTGACATTGAACCCTCTTCAGCTGTGATCAGCCGCCGCAGCGGTCGCTCCATACGGCCCCGTTCGCCTTCCCCTATATATATCCGGTTTGTTTAGTTGCTTTTTTAATTGTGATAGTATTTTTCTCTCATAATATTTTAATCAGAACAGTATTTTTCTGCTAAGATTCAGCAAGCCGAACGAGCCCTAGCTACAACATTCCGTACATAAATTTTTTTTTTTGTGATTCCGTACATAAATCTTTCAGCTGCTAAGCCACAAAGAAGGCGAACAAGCCTATCTCAAAAGAAGAAGAAGAAGAAGAAGAAGCGGACAAGCCCAATGTTATTATCAAAAAAAATTCTGAAATGTCATTTGGTTCATTTGTTATTTATTTAATGAGTTAAATGCATCAGCGGTCCTCAAATTTGTAAAGACGTGTCATTTAGATTCACGAACTCTCAAAATGCATTTTTGGTCATCTATATTAATTTTTTTGTTCACTACAGGTCTATACCGTTTTGTCAGCAGTATTTTGCTCACGTGGCATGTTAACATGACAATCATTTTTACATCTAACCACTTAGGTTTACTTTTCTATGAGGAAATAGACCATCTCTTTTCTTCCAGACTGTAATCTTCATCTTTTCCATTCCGTACACCAGCCATGGGCCACAGCTGCAGTAAGCGTGAGAAAGATGAATGATAAAAACTCAGTTTGTATTTCATCAAGGCTTATGCCTATATACATGTACATCACGGTCATAGCTAATGCAAGGAGAGCCAATGAACGTATGCATGTACATCTCTCGGTCAGAACTAGCTAGACTCAAGGAGAGCCTAGGAACGTGCTAATGTGCGCTAACACGCTGTGCCGCGCCTCCATCGCGCTGCCCCACCCACCGCTCACAGACCTCCTCCGTGTGGAGCTCGGCAGCATCAGCAGCCGCTGCTCCAACCCGGACGTTGTGGCAGCCGTCCGCGCGTACCCGCTCGCTTGTGGGCGGCGTCCCCAACTCGGCGTCGTCAGAGTACCTCATCGAGGAGGAGCTGCAGGTCGTGCTCCAACTGAGCCCGCGCGCCACTGCCGGGTCCCGCGACCCACCAACCTTGTAGTCACATCAGCAACAGCAGCACGAGCTTGCCGCAGTGGAGCATGGGCAGCTGCCGCCGTCGTCATCTGTGGGCACGTGAAAGCTCTAGTTTGGTTTTAATTGATGAAACCCTAATTGTTAACTTAGTTTGTTAAACCCCTACGGCATCGTTCATGTCGACAGCGGAGCGGTGGAGCAGCTGGTGGAACAGCTGAACGCACCGGTGCAGCAGCAGGCGCTGGAGCAGTCGGTACGACACTAGGACCGTGATGACTACTAGTGCCGCACGGGCGTGATCTTGGCCGCCAACTACGCATGGCGTGCTGTCGCCGGCACAGGTGAGCCCCCGTGGGTATGGCCTAGCCACGCCACCAAGACTTGTGATGAGGGGCCGACGAGCTTCGTGTGCAATCATGGAAAAAAAAGTAAAGGAGACGCAAAATGAGCGTGAGGGGTTAAATATAAAATTGACTACCATGTTGGCATGCCATGTAAGCAAAATACTGCTAACAAAGCGGTATGGACCTGCGGTGAAACAAGAATCAAGATAAGGGATCTAGAAATGCATTTTGAGAGTTCGTGGACCTAATGTCACACCCTTACAAGTTCGAGTACCGCCGATGCATTTAACTCTTATTTAATTGATTTCGGTAAAGAATATCCGTCAGCTTTCGATTTTTCTCCTCTATAGTCAATTTACTTACGGAGCTGCTATCGCCCGGACGTATGGTGCCCAGGACATGTTCGAATGCAGCTCCATCAGTCAACTATTAAACAATTCCACCAAACGTGGGCTGGCGTCGCGGTCCACCAACGGGAGTCCGATCAGGCTGCTCGTAGTAACAAAACAATGAAGCGGTATCTCTGCCATGCACGCGTAAGAGAGAAAGGGAGAGCTCACGCCCGAGTCCGCGCCACCATCCCTTGGCGTGCCCCCTACACCGACTCCCGTCGCGCCCCCTCCGTAGTTTGAGAAGGACGCAAGGTAGTAGAAGACGAGGAGGAGACACCGAGGCAAGGCAGCAAAATGTGAGGAGGGAGATGCAACACCCGATCTACTTTTAAAATATCTAGATGCAACACTGTAACACCTCTGGTGTTACGAGCTTGTTTAGCACCGCGATTTAGGCATAAGAGGATTTATCAAAACGATTTTCTTGGATTTTTGAATTAAAACATACTTGATGTGATAAGCGAATCTGGTGTGACTCAGTTTTGTGGACTCGAATCAACGTCAAGTTAAATTACTCAGTGCGTAAAGATATTTAGGAATGTCCGATAATGATTCAAGTAAGTAAATGGCGAATGGCTTGTTCTGTTGGATTGAGCATGAAAATGATATTTATAAACAAAATAAAATGTATATTAATAAATAGAACGGTATATATATATATAGCTTTTGCATCTAATTTAAATTCGAGCTTTGTTAAAAATCTCCTTGTGTCTAGATGTTGCTAATTGTCTAAATTAGTAAACCGATAGATCTATGTATAGGTATATATGCACTCACGTATTTCGTTTTGATAAGCATGTTGCTATATTAATTAAAGTAGTGTACAAACTTATTCCTTTCCGAGTGTATCTCTATAGATAAGTATACGTTTAAACATACGATAAATATATGCATGTGTGTATGGATGTTAGTGATAAAGAAATAACGATATATTTGTAATTACATAATAATTTATATATTTTGGTATAAGAAAAAGAAAAAAAATTGTACTATATGCATGGCCGCTGTGACATCGTCGTTGGTGATCGTGGCGCATTCCTCGCATTTTGATCCACCTACCTCATCGTGCATCCGTGTCGCTTAGCAGTCGTCGCGTAGTGACCGTCGATCCCGGCTCCTGGGTCGACGAGACACCTCACCGCCGTCCTGACCACAAGACGATGATGGTGTGTCCCCGCGCGGAATCAATCACCATTTATTTGCGTCGTGTCGCATTGTCGGGTCCCGTCGCTGCTCCCTCTCCCTCGCGCCCTTTCTCAGAGAGCATCTTAATGAAAGTTGGCCAAGCTGTTGTGCCTCTGTTTGTCTTTGCCTGCCTTTGCTGTCCGCCTCTATCTTGTCTCTGCCTGTTTCCACAGAGCCAAGCACCCGACGTGTCTGCGCCAGCATGTGTGCCACCTCTATCGCACAAGGGCGTTTGTAAATGAGCACGTGGTTCTGCCCCCTTCCCACGTCGTGTCCTCTCACTTCCCTAAGCGTGCGCTGGCGTGCCGCTGCCGGCCACGCTACGCCGTACCGCCCTGTCTCCCCCTCGTCGCGTTTATGTTGATGATGGCGCGCACACGGCTCAGTCCGCTCTCCCTCCCTCTGCTTGCCTCGCGCCGACGTCGTCGATATCTTTCCCCCACCTCGCGCGCGCGTGCCCCGCGGCCGCGCCGGACCGGCTGCTCCTTCACCGCTCCATCTCCAGCGCTGGACCCGCCGCTCTGCTCCACAGCGCTGCCCCTCCCAGGCGCGCTCGTGCCCCGCTACCCCTCCCGTGCGCGAGCTCCCCGGCCCGCGCTGGCCCTTCAGCCCCGCAACGCTGGACCACGGCCGCCATGGCTGCGCCCACCATCATCGGCCCTCCCTCGTGAGAGCACGACTCCCCGCAGTCCTGCAGCGCTGCTCATCCACACCGGCGCTCCCCGCTGTCATCCACGCCGGTCGCCTACTGCTGGTGCCGTCGCGGAGCTTCTCCCGGTTCGCTCACCTCCCCGTGCACGCGCCACTGTCGTGCCCGGCCGGACCGCGAACCACCCCGGCCTCGCCTCGCCGCACCGCCGTGCAGAGGACCACGCCGAGGGTCGACTTTAAGGCGCACCCTCCTCTCCGGTCAAGCCTCTTCTGCGCAGCCGTCACCGCGCCGCGCTTCCCGTGCGGTCGCGCCATGGCCCGCTACTCCGAGCGCTCTCCAGCCGGACCACGACTGCGTCCGTCACACAATCACCGTGTGCACGAGCGCGCCCGAGCCCCGCGTCACTCCTGCACCACCACCTCGCCGTCGGCGCGCCCTCACCATGGAGCCGCCCTGTCACGAGCCATGTCCACCAGCGGGTGCGCTCGGCAGCGGTCAAGCCGCGACGCCGCCTCCTCACCGCCGTCGATGACCTCACGGTCGGATTTGGCCGCCGGTCGGTTTCCCTGGCCGTGCTCTGCTTTTGAAGAAGAGAAGGGTAAGAATTGAGGTAGAAAAGTTCTACAGGGTTCTTGGTGTAAAATACGTGACCTAGGTGAATAGTGCTGATGTACTGCGGGGTGAATTGTTAGAAGCTCAGGGGCCTCTTCGCAATTGTGCCATCGCGGGACCACGTGGGCCGGTTTGCTGTGCTGCGGCCTGTCGGTCGCTTGGGCCATCAGCGCCGTTGCTACTTGCCGCTTGGGCCATGCTCGCCCGTCTGGGCCAGTCTCATGCCGCCTAGCTAGGCCGCTGTGTGCCTGGGCCGCGCATCCGCTGGGCCAATCCGGTGGCCGCTGGCCCTTTAGCTTTCTAAAGCAATTGCTAATTTAGTTTAGGAAATAAAAATGTAAAATCAATATAAATTTTTGTATTTGTCCAAAAATGGTGAAACTAATTTTGTTAAGTTCCTAAAATCATGATCTACCCATTAGCGTAATTGGTTCATCTAGTTTTAAAATATTTCTAGGGTTGCTCTAATTATTTTAAAATATTTAATACTGTTAAAATATGAACTTGTAGGAATTTCCGTGATAAATCGATGATAGTGTTGACTCTAAAAATTTTATAGTAAACTACTAATATTATTAGCTACTCATTGTAATTGTTGTAGCTCCAGAATAATTAGTTTGCTAGATAGATAATGATGCCCTATTTCGAATAATGATTAAATAGATCGAATGAAATAAAGAAACAACTTGAATTGTATAACTAAAACATTTGTTATGAAATAACATCTTATTCGACAACATGGATATGTAGCCTAAGTACGGTCGTTGTCAGAACTAGCTCGTTAACTTGAGAGGAGTAAATAGTATTTTACGAGTCACGATTTCAGTCGATTAATTACGTCTTTGCATTGCATCGCATTGCATATCATAATAGGGACGTCGATGGATCGCGGAGTCATTAGGAGTTGCTGGAGAAATGGTGCTTTTGGAGATCGTGTCGCCATGATGGAAAGCTAACTTCTGATTATATTTTATCTAGGCAGGCCCCGGTGCATAACCCATATTATTCTGCACTTTAAATTATATTTGTGCATTTAGTTTTAAGGAGTTGAATGAAACCCACTTGCATATATATATCTTTATCCTATGAGTCTTCCTAGTATGATAGGATCGTGTAGATTGCTATGCTATAGGACTCCGGTAGAAGTCCAGTGATTGCCTGTCACTCGCGAGAGATAGAAAATATATTATTGTATTATTATCACTTGAAAAATATAAATGGTGGAAAAGAAAAATGGTGACCGGGCAGGGATAAGGTTTGGGTATTGGTGGGTATAAGAGGTTGTGTCCTGCGGCCAACGGGACATAGCTTGGTTACACTGCTTTCTCTGTCTGTGTCGGTGAAGGACCAGCCGTTGCATAAGACGCTAGGCAAGTCACATACTTATTATCCCGAGCACATACTTGGGTTTGACCGCTTAGAAGACTTGTTACTCTCTTGTCATGGGTTCCGGCTCTTTTCGGACCGACTATTATAGTGGTTTTTGGGTTAGGAGGTCCTTGCACCGCACTGAGTCCGGGACTCAGGGGAGGGGGCTTAGAGTCTCAGTTTGGACGGGGACCTGGACCCCATGACAGGGAGGATAGTGGGTTGGTCCTGCTTGTGCCTGGGGTATAAGCGGGGCATGTGTTTTCGGGGTACCCAGGTGGGGGCATTGATTCATGAATCGCCAGCGTTTCGGTACGACTTGTCTTAACTCTAGCACCGTAGTAAGAACTGAAAGATGAAAGATGGAAAAAGGAACTCTGATTGCTTACCACCTGCTTGAAAGTAGTACATGTGCTTAAATAGAGTGGATAGTTAATGAACTAATGCACTGCTAATAAAAATTGAATATAAGGACGCACTTTTAGTAATGCTCCTGCAGATGCAATCAACCCACCAGCCAGATAGCCTTCCATATC